TTGCAATTTGATGTGACAGGCAGTGAAAAGTGGGGAGAACGTGAGGAAAACCGTGAGGAAAACGTGAGGGGGAAAAAGCTTGGAAACACTTGCAGGCGCGAGCCGCATTCGATGCAAATGAAGGGGCATGAATAAGTAAATGAACTATCTGCCATCCTAGTAAAACACACTCACCTATGGAGATGAGCTAGACTAACACACACACCAACACACACACACACACACTCACAGCTATTTTTCCCGCCATTCAGGGATATATCTCATCTGCATCAAGTGCGTTGCGCAACAACAAAAGAAACAACATGTCACAAAAACAAAGCAGAAAAAAGAAAAACAAAAGTAAAAAAAAAAAAACGAAGAAAAAAATGGAAGATAGTAGTGCAAAATCGTGCAAAGTGTCTGTAAACATTTATTTCAAAAATTTATGAATATTGCTCTCCCCTTTGCAAAGGCAGCGGTGACAAACAACAATTCCCGTCGTCCCTCGCTTCTCGTTGCCATTCGGCTTTGAAATTGTTCAGCAATGGCATTGTTTACCAGCTTTTCTCTGTGTGTATGTGTGTGAGTTATTGTTTCGGGACATGATATTTTACCGTTCTGTTGTGGAATTCAACAGGGTATATCCAGACCGGGTGTGGACATATAGAAGTTGAAAGGCCCTTTAAGCTGATTACGCATCAAGCCAAATTTGTTGTTAGTTTTTTTCCGTCACCTGTGCTTCAGCAAGACAAGTAAAAGCTAACAAAATATAAATTAATTTTTTTATTTAATATATTCCCTGTATAATTTAAAAGACGCTAAAATGGTTCAACCAAATAAAAGAATTGATTGTAAAAGTTAATTAAAGTTCATAATACCCACATTTAAAACTACATATATAAAATAAGTGTTCCCTAATCACATACTGCAAATAATTAACTAAAAATCTAATTAAATAACACGCAACTACTTAAAACTTAGAAGAAACATTAACTTCAAAGAGAAGAATCCAATCCAATTAGTTTGAAATGTCAAAAGTTGTTTAATGCTCGAGTGCGCTGGTTATCCTTTCGGTTGCTAAACACCTAATTGTTGTTTGGAACTATGCCAGCTCCTCCTGTTTGAATCATTAGGGGTTTTTCAGTTTTCCGCTCATGGGGAATCCGAATGTCGGGAAATAGTTTTCCCTTCGCTTTTCTTTGCCACATCTTTCCCTTTTCGTCGAGCGCCTCCTTTCCTTTTTCTTGTTGCGTGGCGCATTACAAATGACAGCCGCCTGTCACCCACACATGTGCAGGGTGAAAGCCACACACACAGCTGTGCAGGCAGAAAGACACACACACACACACAGACACAGACACAGAGACAGGCACACGTGTAGGAGTCGTGCAATACATGGCCATTAGTGTTGTGTTGTTGTCGTTATCATGCACAAAAAAGTTGTCGTCTCTGCTTAACTTTACGCTGCCTTACTCCACTTTAGTTGTAGGTCTTCTTACCAAGCCCCCTTAACACCCGACTTTCCCCCGACTTTCCCCGACTTATCAACTGGTTGGACACACTGGAGACTAAAAAAAGAATATTATTTCCATATTGCTAAAGAATTTAAATAACATCAGAAGTAAGTTTTACTACATCAATCCGCGTATAAAGAAAAGTTGTTCGTCAACATATTAAACCTCTTCTTGTTATTTATATGGACACTCTTTAGCTGATCAAAACTTATATATAAAATGCTTTTAAAATTCTACAGACATGAATAAATTGTATGCATTTGGTAAAACCCCAATTTAACTCAAATTTTTTAAAGTATTTCCTCAACCTTTTTATAAAATGGATATTTGATATATTATTAGATTAACACCTTTTAAGTTATTTTCATTTTGTTCAGTGCTACCCACTCGTATTCCTAACAAGTGCTGGTCAAAATTTTCGGTAGGAGAAACTTTAGTTGGTCAGCCAAGTGAATTACGAGCTCAGCCCTTAACCCTCAACGCAAACCTTGTTTTCCCCGCACTTTCCCCACTTTCCCCCTCTTCCCCTTCCATTTTCCCCGCCCCGTCTGTTAGTTGTTATTTAATTATCATTTTTCATTCTTGTTTCGGGTGTGGAAAATGTTGTCATCGCACATGTTTGGAGAGCTTCGGGATTGGGGTCATAGGTTAAGGGGTTGGGGGATTGGGGGGTTAAGGGGGCCCTGATCCTTCGGGGGGACTTTTGTCTGCGAGTATTTTGGGAAATCTTTTGTGCTGTGCCCGCCCAGTATGCAAATGCAATTATAATTTCATATTTCAATTCGTCTACAGTGCGGTACATAATGGCGAAATCCAGGCTTTCTGATGGGAGAAAAATGTGGAAACTGGGCGGGAAAACAATAAGCGACGGGGGAGAATTAAACCAATGATTTTCGCGACTGTTTCATTTTTGATTTTTTAGGCTTAAAAATTTGTAACTTTTAAATATTTAAAAAGCTGTACAAATATATTTATTTCAATGATTACAATCCCAGATAAAAGATTTCATATAATTATTTTAATTGTAATTCAAGATCGAATTATAGAGGGTTTTCGCTATCTTTTCATTTTGCTACTTGGCTCATAATTAACATTCACTTCTTTTTTATTCTTCTGCACTTTTCATTTTCGCAATTTCCTATTTCTTTGGAGTGCTCTTTGACACTCCGTTTTCTTTCGTTTTTCTTTTTTTAATCGTTTTCTATTTTTCTACTTTCTTTTCTTGGCTTACAATTTTTCAATCACATTTTGGTAATTTATTGTCCGACATTTTCTTGCAATCATATTCTTTGGTTCTTAGGCAAATTCGAATTTTGTCAAATCACAACCCACAAATAGATCTTGTTTCTGTGCTCTTTTTCCAAATACCATTATGCAAATCACCTAAAAATATTTGTCAAAGCAACGGAAACGTAAACAAATGTTATCCTTCACATGCTGTTTTGCTTAACCTTTTATTGTTTCTGTTTGCTGTGGCATTCAACAGAGTATCGAGTAAATAAACTCGAGAAAACAATAGAATGTCAACTACAATCAATTTTTGGCCCAGGACACACCTTTCTAAGGCGTCGTCGAAGGGGTTTTCCCTGCTCGATTTTTCCCATTTCCTCGAGACTTGGCGAACATTTTAATGAGATTTTCGAATTCCAAAGAAAATTCAAAACGTAGCTTATTCAACTTTTTATGTGTGTCTGTGTGGGTGTGGGGCACACTTTCTTTCTTTTTCTGTGTGAGTGGGTATGTGTGTGTGTGTTGGATATATGTCTTTGTCTGTATTTGTGTTTGTGGCAACAGGCAACAAGCCAAGTTAATTAGCAAAAAGCAGATAGCGTCACACAAAAAAGGAGCAACCAACTAAGGCCATCTTAAGGTCTGATTGAGCAGCGGCGAGTGAAAGTGGGTGAAAGTAGTATGCAAGGGGGGGAGGGGGGTGGGGGGGTTGCGCCTGGCTAAAAGGGGTGTCACAAGGGGAGCGGGATTGAAGGCCAACAAAAACGGGAGGTGGCTGAATTCTGCGGAGACCTCCACTTAAGTGCGGGTTTTTGATGTCGGCGCAAATTGCAAAGAAAATGATTTATTATCTGCAAAAGGCAATTAAGTAAAATTGCTTGAAAATTATTTGCACTCCATCCCCAAAAAAGGAAAGCAAAACAGAGTCAAACCAAAATAAACACAAATGACAGAAACTCTTTTAGCCAACCCCAAAAAGTGGGAACGCAATTTGGCAAAACGGGAAACTGGGTTAACTCAACTTTTTGAGTCACTTAAAATGGCTATTTAATTTTTGTCTTAAGCTCCTTTTGACCTAACTTCGACTCTCTAGAAAACTATACAAATAAAACTTATAAAATGGTTTTAAAGCTTCACCCACAAACTATTAAATTTGAAGTACAGTTACTACCAATTTCTCTAATTAAGTATTTATAAAGATTGTAAAGGTAATCTATTACAAATTCTTGATAAAGTTTGCTCTTTGGCCATCAAGTTTTTTTCAAGTTTGTAATTTTCCACGCAAAAATCATGTAAAGTTTTCAAAATAATAAGTAGCTATTAAAATTGTATTGTATAAAAAAAAAAATTAAAAAGGGAATTTGAAAAGTAAGAAGGAAATTTTCATACCCAAGTTTACCATCAGAATTTATTTTTCGCCAGATTTGCGACGACTTTAAAATGTCTTTGCATTTCAAATTGGTACCCCGGCAAAGGAACTCACCTTTCCCTTCGGTCCTCTAATTCCTTCGCTCATCCAACATGATTTATAAGTCGAATTAGAAGGAGCCACACGACGGGCAGGAACAAGAGCGAATTAATTACGAATTCAAGCCCGAGAGGTAATTAATTCACTTCATTTTCTTTCCCTGGAAAGTTGTCTGAAAACCAAACTCGACTCGCCTCGATTCAAGCCAACCATTTTGTTGACAGACAAACAAATGCTGGGCTAAACAAGCAAACATGTGCACTCACCTACTGGGACATTCATGAATTCATTGCTTTCATTACGCTAAGGATATTTCAAATATTTATTTTCAGATTTTATCTAAAGCAACTTATAATTGCTAAAGAATTTAACAAGACTCATTCTAATTCGCTACATAAACTCTTTTGTGTTTTCAAACAGTACTTGCATTTTTATTTCAGTTAATTAACCCAAGCTCTATAAAGTTTTCTAGGCAATTTTGAATTATAAAATTAAACATAGTAAACATAGTCACAGAAGTAACTAAAATTGTCAAATTAAATAAGGTAAGCTAAAAATAGTATGATTAATTTAAGCTATAAAAACTATTGCTTCCTCTTAGCAATCTTTCAAAAATGTTTTAAAATTTTTTATTTGTTGTTAGTTATTTTTATTAAAAATAGTTTATAACTACATATATCTAATTTTTGAATTGTCCTTTCAAAATTCTTTTGGCTTAAATAAAACCATTGTTCCATACATCAGGTGGTAACTTCTTCATTTGGACAAAGGATTTGGCCATATTTACATTTGTCAAGCACTTCACTCACCTTTGACTGCGGTGTTTTCTCTGTCTCTTAAGCTTTCTCCGCCAAAATCCTCCGCCGATTCGGAACGCAAATGGGATTCAAATATTTGCCACAAACACTTTCACTTCGGCTCTGTCGTTTCTTGGATTGGAAAACGCTATTCGAAACGCTTTTGGCTTACCTGCCAAAGCACAATATACATATATATATTTATATATATATATTTAATTTTTTAGCTTAGCACAAAAACCACAAAAAAAATATATGTTCAGCACTTTCGAAAATTTTTCGAAACACCGGAACAAACGATTGCTGTGCGACTGTGAACTGTGACCAGTGACTTTCGACTTAGCTTGTGTTGCAGAATTCAGAGGCTGAGAACCGAACCGCACGAGAGTCTGTTGACGAATTTGAATTGGAGGGAGCGACATCGATGGTGGCATCGATGCCTCGATGTTTTTAAAATACTTACAAGCATCGATGTTTGACGCCGGCTATCGATGTTTTTCCACCTGCCTTACTTAGTAAGCGCATCTTCCCAAGCTTGCGAGTAACTTTCTAACTTAGCGAGTGCACCCACCAAATTCAAGCCCCAAAGTCAAGAAAAGCTTTTCCAATAGATGGCGACACCCAAAGTTTGATTCCCTTAATATCCTTATAGCATACTCTTAAAACACTCTTGTTGATTCTGAATACTTTCTATTTATAAAATGATTAGCGCACATCCCAAATAAGAACGATATTAAATTAATATTTTTTTCAAACTTTATTGTTTTTGTTTGTTGTAAGAAAATTTCTCCTTATTCATCGGTCGACTTCCTGCGACTTTTCTAGCTAAAAAAAACTCACTTCAACAATTTCTTTCGTTCCTAACAGAAAAAGAATGACGGTCAAGATCGGAATTGAATGGGCAAACGAAAAATAAAACACAATGGGCAATCAATTGATTTGTAATAATAGGACTAATTTAAATTTATCGTACAAATGGAAGGTTTAGTTGTCTTACATCTCAATCGATCGGTCTCACTTCCATTTTCGCCTGGTATTATTCCCTATAGTTCGACTCATTCTCTAAGCTGCTCCTCTCTCTATAATGTGTCTTCAACAAACGAAGACAATTTCACAAAGGAATTTCTTTAGGTTTCATTTTTGTTGGATTTTTTGTTGTTGTGTTTGTTTGTTTGTGTTTGGAGTATGTGCAGTTGGGCATTTCAAAGTTCAAATTTCTAAAACAAATCTGTGGAAACATTGGTGGTTCGTTATTCGTTAAAGACTAACAATCTCGCAATAGACGAAAAAAAATTATGATAGTATCTCTAGAAATGATCGAACATGATATACATAACTAATTAATTACGAAACTGAATGCTCTGCTCCCCACAGGATGAAATGGTTTTTTTTTGTTGGGGTTTCGCTGTTGCTGCTGCTTTCGGCTGCGCGCTGATGTTGTTGCCGCTGCCGTTGTTCTTGGTGTTGTTGGGATGTGTGCAGTCTTGAGCGGATTGACTTAGTCATCGCCGGCGGAGCGCTTCACCTTGCGCTGCTTGGGACTCTGCTGGCTGGCGGCCTTGGGACTGGCCTGCTTGCCGGGCTTGGGCGAGGTCTTGGGCGTCTTGGACTTGGGCGGGGATTTCTCTGCAAAATGATAGAGATTCATAAGTATCTAAGCAGAACTCAAGGCAGTTGGAGGGCATATAAAAGCATATAATAGCTATTATTTTCCCACACCTGCTGCCATTGGTTTTCAGTGCTTACGCAGTGCCCGCAGCGTCTCCTGTGGCACCCAATCGTAGTCGATGGTGCTGTCGTTGGCGGTTCCGGTCTCGATCACCTTCTTGGCAGCGGCACGCTTCCTCTTGCCAGAGCTGCCCAGCAGATACTGCTGTCCGATGACCAGGAGCAGGACGACAATGCCGGCCAGCAGGACGTAAAGGAAGAAGGTCTCGCCATCCAGACCCTCATCGACCTCGGAGATCAGAACGGTTTCGTTGAAGACAGCCTCATTGTACTGAATTCCATTGGCATCGCGGTAGGCCAGAGCAATGTTCAGACCGAAGGGACGGCCAGCGAATTGGTCCGAGGGCAGGAAGGTGTACGAAACGGTCGATTCAAAGCCGGGCTTAACCTCGCGGTTGTAGGCAACAGCGGAGAAGTTCTGGATGAAGTAGTTGAAGTCCATGGGGTAGCGGAAGGAGGCCTCCACCGTCTCGATCACGAACTCCTCGGCGCCCTTGTTGGTGAAGCCAATCAGGAACTCAACGGGCTTGCCGCCGGGCAGATCCAGCTGCTGGCCAGGCGTGTACAGGGGTTTCGTGAAGAGCAGGTAGGTGTCCGCATTCGGCGAACTGCTGCTGCCCGAGTCGCTCTCCTCATCCGCTTCCGCATCCTCACCAGTCACTGCGCCCTCCTCGCTGTCCACGTCCACCAGGTCGTCCTCGACCGCCTCGGCGGCATAGGCTCCAAACTTGTTGGCTGTAAAATAAAGTGATATATTTAATACGGGTCTTAGAAAACCAGAAGGGATATGTACTAAGCTGAAGCCCTAAACAAATTAGAAAGTTTTACTAACAATAACCAAATACTAAACTTTTTCGGCATGTTGTACACTTCATTGAGAATAGTTTAATATGGCAGCAAATAATTTATTTGTTCACCTTCGGTACTTAGTAAACAATGATATAGAGTTCCAAGTTCGTATTGTAAACTATTTTCATGTGCATGTGCAAAAATATAAACTTTGTTTATAACCTTGATATTGAAACCCCACGCGTTGTCCCATTTCCTGCAGAAAGTGGGTCATATAAATAAATGATTTCTATGATATTTGGCATGAAGACTAGAAGATGTGCTTAACAAATTTGGAATACTGTTTGAAAAGGTGGTTTCAAGGCCAAGTATGGGTTATAGTAAGCCGATCCCTAGGAAACTTGGATATATCACTGAGAACCTTAAGACTATTGTGTGGAGTTTAGAGCCTTGAATTTGAAAATCAACCGAAATATTTGCCATTGAACCCCATTCAAATCACAGGTAAGAGCGAGAAGGCGATATCGGTGGTGCCAACTCAACAGTTTTGGAGCAAACTCAATGGAAATCGGCAGCTGAAGATGAATGAAAATGGCCAAAATATATTGCAAGCGATGGTGTCTCGTTGGTTAAACCGCAAGTATATATTCCACGTAGCAAATGCAGATGCGTCGAGTGTGCCACGTAGACGTACCCCCGCCCTCCCTGACCAACGATTGTTTGATTATCACGGGGAGTGATGTACTTACGCGCCGAGAAAGTGCAAATAACGATGGGCAGGACCATCAGCATAAGGAACATCAGATGCCTCATCTTGATTTCCCTTTTTGTTTGTTTGTCGGGTAGGCAGTAAAATACGCGGCGGCACGGAAATTTGGCTGGGAAACCTGGGGAAAACACACGCACACACAACCTTCGCGATCGAGTGAAAATTAAAGAGTGACGAGCGCGGTGGAATAGCGGCGAAAACAGAAGAGCCGAAGAGGCACGAAGGCAACACGACTTTCTATTGTCAAATGTCTACGTGGTGCCACGTCTAGGGTTGCCAGGCCGTCGCGTTTGGGGCGGCCAGTTTTCCTTCTCCCGCTTATTTCCCCCAATAACAGTCCTTTACTTCCCAAGCCATCAATGAAACTGATAATTAAATAATCAAAAAAAACTCTACCTTTTATATAAAAAGTTGATTAAGGAGAATATTTTAGACGTCTTTTTAGTATCTTCCCCATTGGCAGCCCTAGCATTGACAGATAGTGTTGCGAAGCGCCTTAACTGTCAATCTTCGTGCATTTATTTTTATATTTATTAAAAGGAAATAAGAAACAATCCAAAAAATGTTTTAAACAGTATTATCCTCAGGTATATCATTTTAGTCTTTAATAAACATTTGCAGCCGGTGTAACAACCAAAGGTTGCATTCACAACACTGTTTTCTTATCGATTTCCCAGCAGCAGTGATGCCAAGATTCATAAAAACTAATTCAAAATTATGCTTATGATTTAATTAAAAGAAATCAACCAATCTAGAATATTAACAATTTTAGAGAAGCAATTGGCTAACCAAATGGTTTTAATAAATTAAAACTGTGATTCACTTAAAAGATATTTTGTCGCTTTTCACTGGCTGGTTAAGAGGGGAGCCTGCTTTAGAAACTTCAAAAAATTGATTTTGAAATAACGGAAATTAAAAATTTAACAGAAACTAAACTTTCATGTCAACATTTTTTGTCTCAGATTTTTTTTATTCAAATATATGTCATAATATGCCGGGAACAAGTATTTCGCCGAGCTGTCTCAAGCGTGCATATGTCGTTTGTCGGGAAAGATGATGGTCACAATTTCCATTTGAAATAAAAAACCAACCCAAATCTAATTTTTCAATAGTATAGATTCTAGTTAAACCTAAAAAATCCAAAGAAAAGTAAGAAATTCAGAAATTTTTCGCAACTTAAAAAAAATTTATTGTTTTGGAATAAATATTTTACTTTGGATTGTTTAAAAAAAAGGGGTTAATTATAACTTTTATAAGGTTTTTTAAGTTCAAGAGAATAGAATTTAATGCTGAATACAATAACTTTTGTCTTGATAAAGCACCAACCGATAGTTGGCAGCGCCATTTATCGCACCTATCGTGCCGCCCGCAGCGCAGCCACCTTCACGTCGCTGCACCGATAACCGCTGAACTTCCTTTTTGCTAGCGGCTGCCAATTGAAGCGCTTGTTACACGTGAATTCTCTGCGAATTTAACGATCAAATATGGACAAACCAGTTGTTTGGGCACGCGTGATGAAGGTTCTGGGCCGCACCGGTTCCCAGGGTCAGTGTACGCAGGTCAAAGTGGAGTTCCTCGGAGAGCAGAACCGTCAGATCATCCGCAACGTGAAGGGACCCGTTCGCGAGGGCGACATCCTGACCCTTCTGGAGTCTGAGCGCGAAGCCAGGAGGCTGCGCTAATGGGCGACCTCCTCGAGAGGGTAAGGCACATTTATTCACACCTAGCAAGTCAAGTTTGTAACTCTTGAATCTCTATTCCTTCGCAGATTTTTTGACACACTGTTTTTGCACGCGGCGTTTTGTTTTGGAGCTGGAAAATGCGAAGAAATCCTACGGAGGCTGCTGTGTTTTGGTTATAAACAAATGAATATAAACACCTAACTCACAAAAAAGTCGCCAACTGTGTTTTAAATAAATCTCGAGAGCATGGAGCGCCTTTGAACGAAAAGAAACCAATCAAAGCTGTGTTTTGATTTCATTATTCGGACGTTTTTTGTTTCTTTTTTTTGAGTGCCTAGTGAATATACCATGCTGAGCATGGACAGCTTTAAATAGTGTTAGCGCAGTGAATTCCTTAAAAAAGGTTGTCATTGGTTTCCCACAAATTCCAAACGATTTATTAAAAATGTGGCCTTATAAAACGATATTAAGCCGCCCATTTTTCTTTTGGTTTTATGAAAATTTGAATGGCAAGGCAGTTTTAAAATCTCACGCTTCTTTTTTTTCTGAATACAAATTTAATAAATGTTCTGAAGCATTTTACCATTGAAACATTGATTGCTTAGTAGTTTAGTAAATATACAATAAAAGTTTGTGTTTATCTCAGATAATATAAAATTTAAGTAAAATTTATTTTACACTTTTTGTTACTTATAGTATCCTATGAGTTGCAGCTCTAAACAAAACAATTCCTATCTCACAGCAAATTTAGTGGTAAACTAGAGAACCTTTCTAGTTTAGCCAAACCGAGAGAAATCTTTGCTTCTGCGTATTCTGACAATTCTAGATCGGATTTGAAGCTCTCTAAAGAGGATTCTGGTGCCATAAACTTGGGTTGCAGCTGGCGAAGATGTAGCTCCAAATATTTGACCTGGTTCTGCAGCAACTTCAGCAGTTCCTCCAGAAAATTACGAATTTCTGTTAAGGCTGCGGAAGTTCTGGTCTGGTTTTGCTCTTTCTGTAATTCAAGGCACTTATTTTCAAAGTCGGTCACTTGGGCGGATATTTGCACAAGTTCGTAATCAAGTGTTAATCTGAAAAATGGAAATTAAAACAAATCAGAGCAATTTTTCGCAAAGATAAAGCTACTTACATGTTGTCTTGAAGACTTTGGTAAACTTCACGGCAAACAGAAAGCAGGGCAAAAGTTGCACTTTGATTAGCACTATATAAAAACATATATTAAGGTTTGTTCTAATTTGGTTTCTTTAGTGTTTACCCTTTAACCAAACGATATCGCTGGCTCAACTCCCACAAGCGGTTTGCTTGTTTTGATAGTTCAGGTGTTTTAGCTGCTTTTAGGGCTTTGTAACCTTTTATACTGATAACCAAAAGTTTAAGCTGTTGCTCAAAGTTCTTTTTATAGTAATCTAATCGATCTTGAGGCAATACCATTGCAAAAATTCGTAAATATTTTGTTAAATTTGCTATTTTGTGCGGCACATGGGTACAGTGTTAGTTAGCGACAGCAGAGGAACACGCTGTGGTCAGGTGTTGGTAAGCTTTAGCAATGCGATATGTATCGCAAATAATTTAAAAATTTAAAACGTTTAACTAAACTTTTTTTGGAGCCAACCAAATTAATGTTTTATTAAAAATTAAAAAGCTAGCTTTGGCTAGCCAATGTTTATATGCCCTTGCAGTCACCAAATATATCGAACAAAATACATAAATGCTAAACAACATCGAAGCTATATCGATTTTCCTATTAAGTTTCTATATATTCGGCGATTGTTCATATCCCAATTATATGATATAGTCGTCCGATTTTTATGAAATTTGATTCGAAATTCGAGAGTCATTAGAAAAATCTATATTCTGAAAATTATGCTTTTGTGACAAAAAACAACGATGTCATAATTTTTGTCGTTAATTTCCGTTAACAATATATATAGATCTTTCTTTCTTTCCTATGGCAGCTATATGATATAAATGTCCGATTTTTATGAAATTTTTTTCTCTATTCAAGTATTTAAACTTTAAACAAAAAGCATGCTCCTGGAATAAAAACATCGACGTCATAATTTTTTCGCTACTATTTTTATATATATTTTTCCATGTTTTCTTGGCAGCTATAAAATATAGTTGTCCAATTTTTACGACATTTTTTGGCTGTGAAAACTTTTCATTAGCAAACTATTGGGACCAATTGTAAAATCTAAAAAAATAGTAGCCACCTACTATTGCATTCTGATCGCCTGGTACTTTAGCCCCAACAAAAAATTCGAACAAATCTTATTGCATAATGGGGCCCTAGGGCCCCCACATCCGGCCTTGGCCCTAGGATATGATATATGTGGCGGGAACATTCACAAAAATAGCGCCAAAATTAATTTAACAGCTTGAGAGTTAAAAATAATCAAGCAAAACTTATAGTTTTTCCCATCGTTTTCGATGCAAAACGTATCATCATTATATTTAATAATTTTAAAACTAAAATAATAAAATAATGTTTTGTTTTGTAAATACACCTTTAAGGAGTTTTAGCCTGCTAGTGATTTATTTTATTAAGATGCATTTAACACAACACACAGGATATATATTTTTTATTTACGAAGTCCTAAAATGGGATCGCTCAATAGATGTTGGGGTATTCGGTAATTGGAGTGGACCCCAGCGAACCGAATCACCCAACCGACGCCATCGTAATTGACTGTCTTGTGGAATCGGACCACCACTTGGCTGCGCTGGCTCTTGTAGACTTTCGGGTTGTCCTCGCCACAGAAGCGCCTCATCACTCTCTCCTCGCCGTCTTGGTCCTCTTCCAGGATCTCCAGAAAGTCCGTGTGACAGGTGGTTTTTGAACCCAGATTGAAGACTGCAAAAGAAACAAAAAGAATCGACTTTTGAAATGGTTCCTTAATTCGATGCTAATAATGTTTCAAATGCACAAAATACTGTAATGCCTTAAAGGATTTTCAACTTTTTCAACCAACCTTCAAACGTGAGGAGCACTTTATTGTTGCTGGGCACCCGCACGGTCCAACGGCAGTCGGAGTTATTGCGCACATTCGCCGGATAGAAGGGATTGGCGAAGAGGCCTTCGGTATTGTAGAACTGGCCACCGCACCCGGGTCCCTTCTCCACCGGACTGGCCAGATAGGTGAGGTCCAGGGTGGTCAGGTACGAGCCGGTCTTAACGTGCAGCCGCAATTCATCCGCGTAGCTGAAGAGACTCTTGCCGACATCGAGGAACGCACACACGCGCTGCAGCGATCGATTGCTCCTGTCGAAGACCTCCAGGTTCTCCGTATCGCACTCGTAGCTGCCCATCATAAGCTCGTTGTAGTACAGGCTCAATGTGTGATTGACCGGTGCCCGGATGGTGACGTCGAAGCTGTTGGTGTTCGACACACGCACTCTGCCCTGCAGCCCCTCGTAGTGGCGCTCGGTGTTGGAGGTCAGCCCGATCCGCACCCTGAACCCTAGACGCTGAACCTGGCTCTTCGATCGGTACTTCAGGTACAGCTCAGTCGGATTGGAGTAATAGGTATCCGGCTTCACGCTGCCGCAATACACATGCTCGGCGGCGTAGTCGATGTAGTTTCGTCCTCCCGATGGGCCATTCATGATCAGCTCGCGGCCCAAGCCCTGCTCCAGCAGCTGGGCGTCCTGAAAATGGATGGATGTGGGTAATAGGTCAACCACGAAACATTTCAAATGCATTTTCTTAAAGAGTGCAGTTCCAAGTGTTTAGAAGTAGGACTCTTTCAAATCGGATTCAATTTGGAAGAGCTATTACCCCTTGAAATGAAGTTTTGGGTCACCATTTTATAAACCATTGGAAGCTTGGAAAAATCTAGGATAAACAGGGGATGCAGTTTGTTTCAAAATACAATTTCAAATGTTTAGAGGTAAGCCACTTTGAAATCGGATTAAATGGCTTTTGGTAATGCAGTCATGACCCATGACTTTTATATAAGATTTTCGTTGCATTTATATTTTCAGGGAAGCTCACCTCACTGTTATAGATCTTGAGATAGTCCTCCACGCAGCTGCCGTTGGCATTGGGTCCCTGGAGATCGAGGACGAGGAAGTGCACATCCAGCGCAGTGTCGCCCTTGATTTTCCAGAAGCAGGACACCCCGTTGGCGTAGTTGCCGCCCGGGGCCTCAATAATGGCCTCCTTCACACCGTCGGAGCTGAGGGAGATCTCGGAAGCGCCGCACAGTCGAGGCACCGCATCGATGGTCACCTCGAAGCCGGAATCGCTCACCCGCTCGTCGGTGACGAAGCGCAGGAAGATTGTGTGCCTGGTGGAGGTCAACGGTGGCGGCGCATCCTGGCCACAGAAACGTCCGATGATGTCGGCAAACGGACCGGCACCATCCCGCAACTCCACATAATCGTGATCGCAGTTGGGGGACTGCTCCACATGGAAGTTGCTGAACTGCAGACGGATCTGCTGGTCGGGATTCACCCGGAAAACGATGTGGCAGTCGAGGTTGCTCTCATAGCCATTCGCATAGTGGAACTTGCTGAAGACATAGCGCGTAGAGCCATTCAACGAGATCCTCTCGTCGCAGTTGGGAATCATGCGAACGAAGGCGCGGAATCCACGCGACGGATCCCGATCGTCCGAGTAGCTGTGGATGATGCCGTGCTCCTGGTTGATGCTGATCACCGGCAGAGCCTCGTTCATCTGGCCACAGAACCTGCCCAGTCGCTGTCGGTCGTCGGGAACGGATCCCGCGAAGATCTCCACGCCATCGTAGGCACACCGATCATGCGCCTCGAAGTCGATCATTTCGAACTTCACGGTGAACTTGTGGCCGGGCGTGGTGGTCAAATTCCAGTAGCAATTACTGTTCGGCGGCAGGGTGTTGTCCGTGTGCTGGCGCGGTGACTCCACAATGGCCGTTTGGTCAATGGCGCCGCCGCAAAGTCGGCTGGTGTAGCGCGCAAGGAATCCCCGGCCGGAGTGGCTGCTGTCCGTGAGGAAGAGCAGGTTGATCGACTCCTTGGCCCTGTACTGGTGGTTGTGCTTCACGCCGCACAGCGACGCCTTCACGGGAGCCTTGTCCTTGTCCTTCGTCGTCACCGTTAGATTGTCAAAGAGGCAATTGGTTGTGGGCGCCTGTTCCAGATCGAAGTTAACGAAGCTAACGAGAACTCCGCCCGTGGAGCGATCACGGGGCACCACGGTCCAGTTGCACTGCAGATTCGGATCGTACCCATTCGGATAACCCGGACTGGCGATCTCCTGGTCGGTGTCGTCGGCGTACAGGAGTCCGCCGCACTTGCGCTGGAACTTGGCCCAGAAGCCATCGGCCACGACATCGGAATCGGAGCGGAAGATCAACCGCATGTACGGCGTTGTTGTGCTGATATTCTCCGGCGGCGAACGACCGCAAATCCTCTGCAGGTCCGTCCAATTGCCGGACGTACTGTTGCGCTGCTGGACGAGCACATAGTCCTTGGTGCAACCGGGGCTGTCCTCCACGTAGAAGCGATTGTAGAAGGACAGACCGATGTGGTAGCCCGGAGTCGCCTCCACCTCCCAAATGCACTCCACATTGTTCTTGTACTGCTCGTTGAACTCGATGGTGCGATAGGGGTACGTCAGCTTGCCGCCGCATCCCGATCCGTACTTGATCGACACGTTGAAGGTGGCTCTCGGCGAGTAGCTATCGGAGTGATACTCCAGGAAGAGGCCGCGCTCCACCACCAGATTGGTGGCGTTCGTCCGGTTGCAGTACGTCCCCAGCACCGGTGAGTTCTGGTCGGGTCCATTGTAAACCTGATAAATGAATTCAATTACAACGCTATCCCATCGCAGTTAAGCTACCTTCATTTTTTGTTTTACCTTGAGGAAGTGAGTGTCGCATGAAGAGTCCGAGGATCCGGCGGCCGAAACGGGCAGATAGATCTGCAGCGACACCTCCAGCTGAATGTCCTGGGGCGTTAGGTCCTCCTCGAGTCCGGCATCCGTGTAGGGACCAATCGCCCAGGCACAATCGATGGCCCCGCGAACCGACTGCATTCCCGTTGGCTGGCGCACCGTCATATTGTCGCCCGGCTCCAGGTTGAAGACGCCGCCGCAAGACTGCATGCTGTAGTCCAGCACGAGACTGTAGAGAGTGTTGCGAATGCTGTCCGCGACGACCAGTTCGATGGGGAAGGGCACACGCACGGAGAGCGGCGCTTTGCCCGCAGCGGGCGCCACATAGTCGCAAAGGAATCGCTGCAGCAGCCCCTCCTCGTGGTCCAGTCGGCTCATCTTGAGCGGGGCCATCACCGAGCACAGATTCGAATTGATCATCATAACGTTGGAGCTGTTGAACTCCTTTACCTGTGGCACGAACAATGTTCATTTGGTTAGTGTTCATTAGCTACAAAATGAACAAATTATCAAAGAAAAGGGCTACCAGGTTCACTCATTCACTGAAGTGAAATAAACAAATAAAAGCTGATGAACAGAATGAAAAAGAGGAGTGGTTAATCTTCATTCAGTCAATTATTCATTCACTGGAGTAGAATGAACGTACAAATAAACTCATGAACTAATCAAAAAAAAGAAGAGGTTCATTCTCTTCATTAATTTATTCACCCAGAAGGGGTTCATTGGCACTCTGCCTACCTGGATGAGGATGGTGCTGTTGACCGCCGGAATGATATCGTGACTGCAGTAAATGGGATCACTGCCGCGTTGCCGTCCGATCCGCATCTGCCGTGGAACGTTCGCCTGGAACTGGAACCTCTGGCAGGCGCTCTCGCCGTAGGCACTGAACCGCAGCTTGCAGCCGCGACTCTGATCGAAGGGCAGGACCAAGGCATCAACGAACATCGTGTTGTCGGAGGACACCACCTCCGAGGGCATGTCGCCGCTGTAGCGGCCAATTACGTACTGACCCCGATGGTCGTTGGACACCGACAGGCGACCGCGGTACTGACCAAAGCCCATCATAATTCGTGGCCGGCCCTCGACGCTTCGGCTGAAGTCGAGGATCTCGAGCCGCACCCGCCGGCCCTTCGGCACCTGGAGCCGCCACACGCAGTGGACGGGCTTCGAGATCGGCATGGGATAGCCGGGCGTCTGGAGGGCGCCAGTCGTGGCGACGATCGTCTCGCCGCATCGCGATCTCACCGTGCGATAGCGGATGCGAAAGCCCTCGCCCTCCTCCGGAATGCCGTCGAGGAAGCGATAGCGCAGCACAATCCTGTTCGTCTCGCCAAGCAGATGCCTCGGCTCGCTGCCGCAGACCATCAGGGTGTCCGTGATCCGATCGCGGTTCTCCTCATCCGTTCCGAACGCCTCGAGCTCTTGCAGCAGCAGGTGGTGCCGCCTCGAACAGTTGCCCCCCTCCGATGGCTGGGGTAGCGACAGGAACTCGCTGACCAGATCCACCGTGCTGCCCGTCTCCAGTTCGATGGTGTAGACGCACTCCTGCAGCTGCTTGCCCGCCTCGTGCACCAGCAGCATTTCGCGAGTGGGAGATGCAATCACGCCCTCGGAACTGTGGAAGGAGCCGCCGCAGCGGGCCAGCTGCACGCTGGCATTGAAGCCCATGTGCGGCTCGGTGACGTCGGTGAAGTAACGGATCCTCAGCTGGTTGCCCGTGGAGTAGATCGTGTCCGGTTTCTGGGCGCCGCAATAGCGTCCGATCTCCGGCCTCAGACCGGTGGCTCCGTCGTTCACCTGGACGAACTCCTGCTGGCACTCCTTCTTATCGCCGCTCCCCGTGGCCTCTAGCAGATCGAACTTGCCCTCGAAGTGCAGCATTATCCGGTGCTCCGCCGGTGCGTTAACGGTCCAAATGCACTCCGAGTGGGGATTCGGGAGGTTGGGATAGAACGGCGAGTGGATGAACTGAACATCCGAGCCGTTGTTGATGGCACCCAGCTGGATGTGACCGGAGCAGGCGTGGCTGAGCTCCTCGTAGCGGAAGGTCAGTGCGAAGCGGGGGTTCAGGTAGTGGAACTTGATGTACGCCCGATTCGAGCTGGTCTCCAGAACCTCGCTCTCGGCATCCTCGCAGTACTTGCCGCGTCCCAGGAACGGAGACTCCGCATCGTTGCCATTCCGCAGCAGCAGATAGTTGCTGCATTCGTTGGGGCCGCCGGCTTGGTTGTTCTGCAACTGGAAGCTGGGGAAGCTGATGCGAATTCGGCGACCCTGGCGCACCTTCAGCGTCCACACGCAGTCCTTGTTGGAGCGAATCGGTCCGTTGCCCTGCAGCACCTTCATGATGTCCACCTCGCCGCGGCTGCCAACGATCTGCGAACCGCAGGCGGTGCGCACCAGGCTCTGGAATCCCGTCTTGTTCACACTGGAGTCCGTGATGAACTCCACGCGGAGGTAGGGCGTGCCGTGGAAGATCCTATCGCCCACTTCGGTGGGCAGAAGGCAGAGCTTCTGCAGCTCCGACCAGCTCTGCAGATCGCTGCCGCTCGAGATGCGCACATAGTCGGTCATGCACTGGTCCTGCCCTCCGAAGACCTCCAGATCCAAGTGGAGCAGCTGGAGGACGGCATGCGAGGCGGGATTCGCGGGCACCAGACTCCACGAGCACTTCAGTCCGTTCATGTAGCCACTGGGATAGCCGGGCGAATGGAAGGCGATCGACGAGTCGCCGATGTTGATCAACTGGTTGCCGCCACACAGACGCGTCTGCTCCTCGGCGGAGCGGTTCGAGCGGACTGCCTCCTTGGACAGCCGCTCCCAGTCGAGGCGGAAGGGTCCCCGGTTGGCCGTGAAGTACACCATGTTCGTGGTGGAGCGGATGGGCTCGTCGGGATCCGTGACCGTGATGCGGGCACCGATGTCCGAGTAGCCGTCGTAAAATCGCAGGTGCGGCTGGTCGAGATCCCGCAGGTGGCGCACCGATATCACCACCACGTACTCCGGATCCACCGTAATGCGCCAGCTGTACGGCTCCGTCTCGTGGAACTTGCTCGGATAATGCGGCGACTCGATGATGCCCTCCGTCCCATTCACCTCGTTGTGGTGTTCTAAAATAAGGAATACATTTTATATATATTATATAATTAAATATACCTATATATATATAATTCTCTTCTCACTTCTCTAAGGAAAATCACTTCCCAATTAGGTGACTCTTTTTTAAAGTTTTAATATAATACATTTACAAAACAATCCTTTAGATTGAGAACATTGAAATAATAAGTTAAGCTCTATTTGAAAACCAATTAGAATGAATAGCATATTTTTATCTACGAAACAACCTATTTGACCAACTTGTTATTAAGTTGAAAATATTCAAAATGAATTTAAAGAATTAAATTATGAATATAATATGATTATCAATAAATCAACCCTTTTTTTGTTTTGCTGGTTATAAGGATAGAAGTATTTTAAATATAATTTACAGAATTAAGAATTAAGAAACAATATTTTATTGGGATCCAACCCAGAAATAGAAACACATTCAAAAAGGAAACTCCATGATTTCTTTAGAACCTGTACACTATAGAATCTCCCAAGATAAAAGGAATCAAAGGGAGCACTCACCGTAGTTGTAGGAGGCCATGAAGCCCTCGCCCACGTTGTCGTCGTCGCTCTTGAACTTCATCCAGATGGAGCCGTGCGATCGGATGACGCCGGGCACCTCGTTGCCACAATAGACACCGATCAGTTTGCCCCGCTCGGACTCCTCGCGCACCTCCAGATAGTCCCGGTTGCAGCCATCCGACTTCTCCAGATCCATCGATTCCAACGTGAGGCTGAGGGAGTTGGCCATGCTGGCCTCCAGCAGCCAGATGCACTCGATGTTCGGCGGATACGAGTCGGGATAGTACGGCGACGTGAACTTGCCGGACAGGGAGCTATACAAGCTGCCGCAGCTGCTGTCCATGGTCATGTAGTTGCCCTCGAACTCCTCGACCAGCAGGAGCGGCACGCTGATGGTCAGCGCATTGCCCCTGGAAATCAACGCAGGCGGATGGGAGCGACAGTAGCGGAGGCGCGGCGTTCCCTTCGCCTCCGTACCCTCGTAGATCTTCACGCCCACGTCGAGGCAGTCGCCCTCCGTGGGATACTCGCTCCTCACCTCGTCGCGCAGCTTCACGTGCGTCGGCGTGAAGATCACGTGCCTGCTCGGCTCCTGCGCCTGGATCACCCACTCGCAGGTCTCGTTCCGCGCCACTCGGCGGGTCATCTGGATGAAGTCGTAGTCCGTTTCGTCGATGGTCAGCTGTCGGGCGAAAAGACAATTGCTTTAAATCACACACTCAATCATATATCAGTAAATGTAACATAATTACTGGATATATAGCCTTATTGCATTTCGAAAGAGTTAATAATTCAGTTTGATTAGGCAAAGTTAACTAACATTTTTGGAGATTTAATTGGAAGTAAAGGTATATCATATCTAATTTTAATTGAATAAATATAAATATAAATATTAAACTTAAAGGAACAAAAGCACGAGATTTTCTTTACCAAAATGATTTTGGTGTTCCCCAATAATATTATAATTAATTTTATATTCTGGTTCAGATGATCTTGAATATCGTATATTAACTATTAAAAATTAAAGGGAGTTAGTTATATCTTTTTGTTATTTAAAAGATATATTCCTGCCGTTAAAGTCTTTAAAGTTAATTGCTTCGGAAGCACTATTAAAGAACCTCACCGTTTGGCCACAGGACTCGTAGAAGTTCAGCCGGAAGCCCTTTGAGGAGATGGAATCATCGCTGACGAACCGCACCAGTGCCAAATTGGAGGCGGACATGGGATTGGGCTCGAGGCGACTTACACCGCAAATGTGGAACAACGACCGACCCTCGGTGTCGTCCTCCGAGAGATCGAAGGCCTCCAGGTAGTCAAAGCTGCATCCGTAGGTGTCCTCCATTTCGATGTCATCCAAATCGAAAACGATCCGGTGATGCGGGGACACCTCCAGCTGCCACTCGCAATGGGAAAAGGATGGATAGCGTTTCGGGTAGTTGGGCGACTCGATTGCCCCGTTTTGGCCCGAAATTTTCCCTCCACAAGCTGGGTAAATAAAAAGTGAAAAGATAACAAACGTTGCCATAAAATGATGCTGGGTATTCAAAAATAAATAACATGACTTAAGGATATACCTTTAATGTGCTTAAAATAGATAATAAAACCCTTAATTTTAATATAATTATAATGTTTTTTATATTGCAGAGGTCTTTTGCAATATCTATTCTTCTTAAGATCAAGAGATATAAATGTAAAGTTTAGCACTTAAATGATTACTACTACCTTCAATACACACATTAAATCGCATTGAAGTCTAGTTATTGCTTTGGATAATGCTATATTCCCCTACTCACTTGATTTCACCGATTTATAACTGGCCACAAAGCCCTTGCCATTGTGCGAATCGTCCGAGATGAAGCGCACGTGCATTTTGTGACCGCTGCTGGTCAGGACCAACTTGGCCGTGGCTCCGCAGTGGCGTTCGTGGTTCGCCACAGTGTTCTGGTGGCTGGACACCTACAAATACATGTAATTAAAGTAAACCACCTGGCATACAGCATAAAATATATTGTGTAAACCCACTGTAAGCGCATCTTTGGTGCAGTTAACGCTCTCCTCCAGATCCAGATCGAAGATGGTGAGCTCCACGGAGTGATCCTGCTCGACGTGGATCAGCCAGTAGCACTCCATGTTGTTGGGATACATGCCCGGGTGGTTGGGCGAGCTGAATGAGCCGCTCCCCCCGCGCAGCTCCTCCATGCAGCCATCGATGCGATAGTCCAGCTGGAAGTTCACATTGCTGGCGTTGTGGACGACGGTCAGCTGCTCGCCGGTGATGTTCACCGTTCCGGTGGCGAGCACATGCTGCACATTCCTCCGCCCGCCGTCGACGATGTACAAGCCACCAGGCGTCTGGGTGTTTGGGATGTGCTCCTCGTGCCGCTCCAAATGCGATACTTCGATGAGAACGCGATTGCCGCGCGGCGCTCGAATCGTCCAGCTGCAATTGACGGGGATCGTCTCCCAAAAGGGTTCCATGTAGTTCAGGCTCTCGATGCTGCCCGTGGTGGCCGTAAGGTTCACCACACAGTTCGCCCGGTACGAGAGCCGGAATCCGCGGAACGAATTCGACGAATCCGAGCTGAAGATCAACGTCGCCACATTCCCATCCAGTTCAAACAATTGATTGCTGCCCGCTGGCAAACGGCAGATGTTAATGTCCTCCGCCTGGTTGGGCTTCTTAATGCCCGCGTAGACCATTAATTTGTCGTACTGACAGTCGCCCATGTCCTCCAGTTCCAAATCGTCGACGAGCAGCGCAATGCCCGATCCCGGATGGACGCGTATCTGCCACTCGCAGTGAGCGTCCAAGGGATACTCGTTGGGGTAGCGCGGCGAGGTGATGGTGCCCATGTTCGCCCGCAGGTTGCCGCCGCATCCGAAGGCCATGAGACGCCAGCGCAGCCGGAATCCCCTGCCACCGATCGCCGAGTCCGTGTGCAGGATGATCCGCAGGTCGTGCGTGTAGCTGGGTATCCTAGCGGGTATCTCCCGTCCGCAGAAGCGTCCAATGAGCGGCGAGTCCCTCTCGGCGCCGTTCCTTATCTCCAGATAGTCGGCCGTGCAGTTCGGCGACTGCTCCAGGTCGAAGATCTCCATCTGGATCTCCATGATGGTGTTCACGCCGCTGGTCAGCTGCCAGTCGCAGTCCAGCCCGCCCGTGTAGTTGGCCGGATAGTCGGGCGAGGTCAACTCGCCGCTGGAGGCGTGCACATGACCGCCGCACCGCTCGCGATCCTCGAACGTGTAGTACAGCTGAAAGCCCCCATAGGAGTCGCTCGAGTCCGACACAAACTTGATGACCAGCTGGCGCGAGTGGCTGATCAAATCCTCGGGATGGTTGGAGCCACAGTACTTGCCCAGCGGCTGGATACGATCATCCGGATCGTCCGTCTGGGCACCCAAGCTATCGTAGATCTCCACGTAGTCGAAGTAGCAGTGGCTCGATGACTCCAGATCGAAGCTCTGCCAGCGCAAGCGGATCGCCTTGTTGGCCGGCGCCATAATGACCCAATAGCAAGTCAAGCTCGATCCGTACTTGTCGTCATCGTCCACCGGCGAACGGATGTGCTCCCCGGAACGCGTGTGCACTCCTCCACACTTGTCGCCTTCGGTGGGCAGCGAGCGGTACTCGAACTTGAAGCCACGCCCCCCGCTGTTCGCGTCCGTGGTCAGGAGGAACTGCAGGTGGTTCGCCAGGCTGACGAACTGCTCCTCCGGCTGGTTCTTGCCGCAGTAGGGTCCCAGGATCCGGCGGTTCACTGCATCGTTGATCTGTTGGAGAAGCGAGAAGTGCGGTAATTAGTTATTGAATTTATGATACTATTCAAAATCAAAAAGTATGAAACCCCATCTTATTTGCCAGTATATACATATTATTCTAGGTATACGCATTAAATGCAAATCTATAGTTTATAGTATAGTTAAGAGCTCACCCTCAAGTTGGTGGAGAGACAGCCCGCATCATCATCATCGTCATCATCAGCGGTTCCGCTGTTCAGCTGGAAGTCGATCCTCTTCACGCTGATCACCGTGTTGGCGGCCGTGTTAATCGTATAGGTGCACAGTCGGTCGTTCCTGGTCAGATTGGGATAGCCGGGCGAGGTGATCGTGCCCTGATCGGCGTCCAGCTTGAATTCACAGGACATGCGGTAGTTCAGCTGGAAGCTTCCTGCGGAGGCGTAGAACTTGATCTTGACCCGATTGAATTGCGAGGTGAAGGCGGGCGGACTGGAAAGCGCCGCATCCGATCCGCAGATCTTATCCTGCAGAATGCTCCCGCCCTCCTCCGTGATGTCCAGCACCTCCAGGCAGTCCAGCGGTTGCAGTTCCAGGCGCACAAACTGTATGACGATCAGTTCGCCGAGGGCCAGCTGGATTTCGTATTCGCAGGAGACGCCGCCTGGTTCCGAATTCGCTGCGCTCGACTGGGAAATGGTGCCCTCCTTGGCGGTGTAGACGCCACCGCAGCCGGGCACTCGCTCCTCCGCCGAATAGTGCAGCTGGAAGCCCGAGTCGCTGCCCACCGCATCCGAATGGAAGTGAATCTCCGCCTGGTGGGTGGGCAGTAGCAGTGGCGCCGGCTCGCCACTGGTGCAGTACTTGGCCAACTGGCGACCCGAAATGGTGTCCTCGATCTGGAAGGGAATCAGGAGATTGGGGATTAGATTTAGACGCTTCAATAGCAATTAGTATCTCTATAGATTTCCAGCTCACCTTCAAGTAATCGAAGCTGCAACTCTCGTGCTGCTCGAGGTGCAGACTAAAGAAGGTCAATTTGATGCGCTTGTTGGTGGGCGCCACCAGTTGCCATCGGCAGTCGCGGTTCTTGGGATAGTTGCCCGGCGATCCCGGCGAGGCGAGCGTTCCATGGGTGTCGAACTCCAGGCGACCGCCGCACTGCGGCTGAATCGAGTCCCAGGTGAGATCGAATCCCTCCTTGGCCGTCGAGTTGTCGGATCGGAACCAGAGATACAGCATATTCCCGGAGGATATGATGTTGCCGCCGTGCGGCAGATGATTCCCGCAGTAGCGACCGATGACCTGGGCAGCCGCCGACCGGCCGTCGTTGATTTGCAGCCAATCGAAGCGGCACTCCGTCGAGTCCTCCAGATCGAAGCTGTTGAACGTCACATTGATCACGCTGGACTCGTGGACGCGGATCACCCAGGCGCACTGGGCATTGTGCTCGTAACCGGTCCCCTCCGGCGGATACCGAAGGCTGCCCGTTGGGGCGGCCAGCATTCCGTTGCAGCTGCTGAATCGCGTCTCGCACAGACGACCCCGGTAGCCCGGAGAGCACTGGCAGACGAAGCCAGCTCCGGTGTCGGTGTTCGTCGCGCGGCAGCGACCGCCGTTCCTGCACGGCTGGTGGTCGCAAGGACTCGGCGCCGGTTCGCAAAGCGGGGGACGGAAGCCAGCGGGACACAGGCAGGTGAAGTTCGAGGGTCCCGCGTCCAGGCAGATCCCATTGTTCTATGGGAAGACAGTGAACAATGTTTAAGTTGCAGTCATTTTGTTATGAGAAAGTATATTTACATATAATAAACTCTTTTTTGTTTCCTATGGGAATTAAATATTCTAATAATTTTTATATTTATTTAAAATTGAAAAGAATAATAGGCAAACATTTATAATTCTAAATCCGTTGCATACTTGCGTGACGTTACCGTTACATTTGTAAAAATTTTACCCTCATGCGCCTGAAGAAGTTTCACTTCAAAAAAAAATCAACCGAGTATAAAGTGAATTTTAAATATGAATAAAATGATCAGAACATTTGAAACCTCCTACTATTTTATAGATGAATATCAATGAAGTAAATCTTAAAAAGCATAAATCCACTTCTATAAGAAGATATACGATTTGTAAACCATAATCATTTACTTTAATCCCAAAATATATTTATGCATTAAAAGGTGGCAAAGGGAAACTCACCAGACAGGGATTGCCGAGGCAATTGTTGACCGTGCCGTTGACACAGCCACTTGGTCCGTAACCAGATCCGACCATGCCCACCGGACACCTGCAGGTTTCGGTGCCGGAGATCATGAAGCAGCTGGCGCCCGGATAGCAGCGATTGCCGCCCGGCGGACAACTCAACGCCGGCTGTCCGGTCTGAATGTCGATGTCCGTCGCACTGCGCTCGCACCTTCGTCCATCTCCCGTCCAGCCAATGGGACACTGGCCGCAGTGGTGCGATCCATAGGAGTTGATGCAGTCCACCTTCGGACTGAGGCTGCAGCCGCCGTTGTTCGTCTCGCACTCGTCGACGTCCCGGCAGCTCACGCCGTTCCCAGTCAAGCCGGCGGCGCAGGGAGCACAGGTGAAGCTGCCCGGCAGATTGATGCACTTCGTGGAGCACGGCGTGTGGGCCGCCGAATCGCTGCACTCGTCCACGTCCTCCCCGCAAACGGGCGTCACTCCGTTGGTCTTCCAGCCCGGTTCGCAGACGCAGCGATAGCCGGCATCATCGGCACTGGGGACACAGGATCCATGGCCACACAGCTCCCAGGCACTCGACTGGGAGCAGTCCGCCCGCCGCTGGCTGCAGTGCATCCCATGCCAGCCCGGCAGGCACAGGCAGCTGTACGATCCGAACTGGTTCTGGCACTGCCCGCCGTTCTGGCAGCCCAGGTCGGTGCCCTCGTACAGGGCGCACTCGTTAACGTCCACCTCGCACTTGGTGCCCTGCAAGAAACCAAGTTGAGGGATTTTTAAATGAGTTTTATAAGGATATATTTCTACCTTGCCAATATTTACTTACTTGTTTTCGTGTTCGTTACTATTCTAAGAAGTTTTTTTTAAGGGGCACAACTAGTGTGAAGTTTTAAAAAAATCAAAAAAAAATTTTTTCATATTTCGGTAGATTACACCTTTAAAAATGACATATTAAAATTTTAAATAGATATCTCAAATAGTTTTTGAGTTATAACAATTTAAAGAGCAGCCGCTCTCATAACAGTGCAAGCGATCATTTTATCTTTAAACGCGTTTTTCTCGAAACAGCATTTTCCAAATTTGCTGCAGTGATAACTCAAAAACTAGTGATCCGATCAATACCAAATTTTTTTTACATATTCTTTATATAGTTCTACGTACCATGAACTATCGGTTTTTTGATCCGATCAAAAATCGAATTTTGGCAGGCCAAAAACGACCAAAATTTGGGCTGAAATTCGATTTTTTTTTTTAAAACGCTGCCATTTTGTCATTTTTTGATATTTTTTATTTATCGTAGTTCATGGTATGGAAAATATTATCTAGTTTAACGAGAATTTTTCATTTTTGGATTTCGTCCACGGAGAGGGCCGGAATCACTGCAGCAGTTAAGGCACTTTTTTTTTTAGCGCCGTTGGAGATCGACTATAACTTAAAAAATATTTAACTTTTTTCTTTAAAAATTTCACTATACATTCTTAAAACATGTATAAATATATTCTGAAAATTTGAAAAGAATTGATCAAGTAGTTTTTTTTATAAAAATTCCCAAAAATCACCATTTTTTTAGGCCGTCACACTAGTTGTGCCCCTTAAGTATTGACGTTCAGGTAAAGAAATTGAATGAAACATAAAACCATTTATGTTGAAAATTAAAATATTTATAAAAAAAGGAATATATTCTTTAAAGATGTAATTATTAAAATATGCAAATATGGTGTAGGCTCTCCCTTGTAGAGAATATACTCTGATAACACCTTAAACGCCCCTAAAAACTCCCCTTTTTTTTTTACTGATTATCATAGGGGAATCAATATGTATGTATACCAACCTCAAAGGCCGGTCGGCATTGGCAGCGAAAGCCGGTGAAGGTGTTGAAGCAGGTGCCTCCATTCTCGCAGGGTCCACTTAAACAACTATTTGCATCCAGTTGCGTCTTTATCCGATCCACCCGGTTTTCAACGGAACGAAGTCGCATCTGGTATCGCCGCATTAAGGCCATCGATCCGCGAGTCCTGTCCAAGAAAAGAAATAAAATAAAAAATAAAAATATATAAAATAAATAAAATTAAATTCCTATATTTTTCCCTTTTTTTTTAACTTGTTTGTAATACCTAATTGTAAGCAGATAGGCTTACATCCCAATATTTGCATCTTAATGTCCTGTATTTTCAGAGATCTAAATAGGTTCATAACCATCCTCAACTCACCTGTTTTGCTGTTGACGCAGAATCCAGTCCAAACCGTTGGGTCCAAAGGCCCGCCTCTCGAAATCAGCCAACTGATCCGAAAGCTCCCGCACATCCACAAAATCCTCGCCGGTGTTCCATTCATCCTTGGCTCCGCCAGTTCGCTTCTTGGGACCACCGGTGGCCATCAAGAGATCCATTACATCGTACTCCTCGTTGATCGTAAGCCGCGAATTTCCGCTGAGTCGAAAACTGATATTGCGATTCGCTCCGGACTCAAAAATCAAATTACCATCTTTGCTTATAATCTTCGGCCTAAAAATGCACGGTATTATGGTGAAATCTACACTGAAGATATAGTATGTCTTTCTGAAATTTCTTACGAGTTGACAAAGCCTTCGGTCCAAGGCCAAATATCCGAAATGAGAAAAACCGCCAAACACAACAGGACTCTGCTCCTTGCAGATCCTTTCATTTTGTCACTTTAAAATGGTTTCTTCACTTCAAAAAATTTTTGAAAAACATGGGAAACACTTTAAAAAAAAAAACAAGGAATAGGATCCGATCCGCTGGAACTTCAATGTCCGACTGTGTAGCTCCCAGAGATCTCTGCCTTTCAGATCAACTCATGACTGGGGGCGTTTCCAGAAGAAAAAAATACGCCCATTAAACCGATATTCCCAACAAAAAGATAAGTGAGCTGGCTTTAAAATCGTACACACATATATATATTTTTTTTTTGAGCAGATTCTTAGCCGATTTGGGTTTGCTCTCGGTGCTGGCTTAGTGCGCTAATAATATCTATTACAATAGCACATAAATTAGATCGTTTTGCTTAGGGTTATAATTCTTCTCAAAATGTAAAAACTACGAAGGACTTCTCCTGTTTGCCCTTTCGAAAAAACAATCATTTCGAAAGAGCTGTGTGTTCCTATTGCAGGTTTTCTTTACAATTACTGGTGTTTCTTTGCGTGTGTCTCTCAATAAATATATATATATATATATGCTTTATATAGAACAGAATCTGTGTGAAATGGGTTTGCCCAAGTGTTCGATTTAAGTACAGGCTGTGCTCTACATAGATCTCTGCTCTCCGTGCCAGGTGGTGCTGGTCTAAAGTCTAGATAAGTTTGCCGTGTGGGTTGCAAATGCACAAGAAATGTTCGATAACCAAACTGATCAGACTGATCATTTGCTCTCAGGAACTGAGGAACTGATGGCTGCATAGCCAACAGATCAGAGATCCCTACTATATTCAAATTCAGCAATATTAAATGTTGCAACAGTTAAAAGAATGCACAAAAGATGAAAGCGATTAATATACAATTGTCAAATTTAAGTGGTTAGGAAAATATTCTCATGTGGAAATAAAATGTACAATCCATTCAGTTGTAAAATATCTGAATCAATCAAGTGTGTGTTAGCAAGTCTAAAGTACGATACGATCATACATTAATAATTTCTTATAAATTTAGTTGAGATAGAGTACACTTTTTAGAAAGCAATTATAATGGTAGTTGTTGTGACTTTGATGTTTTCATACTTCATCGAATGAGAAACAGATCGTTTGATCGATTACAGATGGTTTAACACAACGTGTTCATTTAGTGTGCTTGGTGGTGGTTGTTCAGTTTATCAGTTTTTTTGGTTGGTTAGTTGGTTAGTGGTGGTTATGATCGTTCCCGATCGCAGTTCCATTGTTCTATGTGGACTTGGTGGACTTTGTTTTATTTGTTCTGTGAGTGGGATCAAAGGAGAGCTTCATTGGCTGGGTCTTCTGGGTCTGCTGTTATTGTTATGTCTTATACCTATGGCTTGCCATACGATTCTTTGCTTTCTTTTTGGCCGTGGAAGTAGGGAATATAGTTTAATATTCAAGGGCTTGATGGTTGCTCTGCCTGCCTCTACATAAGATACATACTTGTTAATATATGCTCTAGATTTAGGTGTATATATATAACGTAGGTGTGTATAATAAGAATCACAAAGATGAAATGACTTGCGTTCAGAGTCCGAGTATAAATAATAACAAAGCTGGTCGCAATCAAGATCCGGATCTCTGTGCTGTGAGCATTGTTCGTTCACAAGAAACTATGGTAATAATAATAGAAATAATATTAATTACAATAAATGGGTGCCAGGACACGCGCTACACGATAAATAAATATTAAAAATATACACTCAACAGTTGAACTTTCTGCTTAGGTTGGGTTTGATTCTTTCTTGATTCTTTCTTGATTTGTTTTTCTTCGGTTACCCCTCGTCTTCCAGGATCTCTCCAAATTCATTTCATATATAATATATATTTTGAAACCAAAAAAGTTGCTTTCGCTTCAGTTGGCGGGCGTTGTGACTGCTTTCTGTCGCCTTATGTGTTCCGATTTGTGATACAGGAATTTGTAGGTCGATTTCTGCTTCTCCGTATGCTCCACAAAGGAATCTGGTTAGGAATTTCACATTAAATATCAATATAATTGATCTTCTTACAAAGGAAATACCCACCGAAGGAGATATAGCCCAGGTTGTCGGTATCCAGCGCATAGAAGAGCGCCTGGGCCTTCTGTTCATTTATCTTGCCGCCAGCGTGCCTCATCAAGCGCACGAAGCTTTCTCTGTCGATTTGCTGACTAGATTCGCTATAGAGCTGCAAAGGATGATGACAAATTAGTTTTATATGTTCCCAATTATTTAATTAAGTATTTTACGTGGATCAGGGCACGCAGGAAGGTCAACAGATCGGAGTTCTTCAATTTGCAGAAGAGGGAGCAAAGCAGGAAGCTCTTCAAACTCACTGAGCCCATGCGGCGCTAAAACAAATGAAACGGATAGATTTCAGATTAGAAAGAGAGAGAGCTACTAAACCATCGATCGATTTCCAAACTTCTGCAATACTTACGTGATCGAGCAGGGCAAACAGCTTGTGCAGATTGGTGTTCTTGAGATCCACTTGGAGCAGCTCACCAAACGTTATGATGTCCAGTCTGTCCGAGTTGGACACCCGGAGGAAGCCCTTGCAAAGCTCTGAGTCCCGCTGGCTCTCGATCAGGCCAAGCTTCTCGATGGTCCTCTCGATCTCCACGATATCACCGGGGAAGGGGATCTTCATGTCGCGGGCCCTGCTCATCACAATAACGTCCTCGAACGAGTAATCCGAGGTTGGCACTCCTAGAGCCCTTCACAAAATGGTTAATAAAAGATATGGAAATTAATCTGTGATCTAAATATTATTTGTACATTATCAAGTAAAAAATTTTAAAATATTTATACATATATAAAATATTATATATTATTGGTGAGCAAAAACTATAACAAAGAAAGGTTATTATTTCCTTTAAACATAAAAAAATCGCCTTATGTTTATTATAAACTATAATATGACTGCTATAAATAGAAACAGTAAAGGAAATGGCCTATTTAACTTATGCAAAGTACACACATATTGGCAAAAATGGCCATTTCGGAAAACTAATGGACTGCTGCCCCACTTACTTGGCCATCACCTCGCGCACATTGTTGGCATAAAGATTGGCATCGGCCACCTCGTCCGCCGATGGCGTGTAAACGGGAAGGTACTCGATCTCGCAGCGGTTGTAAAACTGCGTCATTGTCAGCCAGAGCAGACGTAACCTAAATGCAATAAGAAATATAGGTATTAATAGTTTACACAAGTTTGATGCCATTAGTGCTGATAACTCAGAATCATTTCTGTGAAATATTGCTTTTAGGTAGTTTTAAAATGTGTGAATAAATATTATTAAGGGGGGGTAAGGTTTTAAAAAATTTTTTTTTACATTTTTTTTTATATTTTTTTTCTGAATGATCAATATGTCGAGAACATTGTGTAAAAATTTTGAGTCAATTAAAGTCAAACTAACGGAGTTACAGCGTTTTAAGCAACCGTATTTGGACGTATTTTCACGTATAAAAATACTTTGAATCGATTTTGCCGAAGACGTTATTTTGAAAGTCGGTGAACATCAGAACTCAAAATCTACTGAGCCGATCCTTTTCAAATTTTTAACACAAATTCTCAATATAAATACGCAGGTAATCAGGAAGAGTTTTTTTTAATTTTTAATTTTTTTCTATTTAAAAAAAAAAAATGAACTGCGATTTTTTAAGCTAAAATCGCACTTTTCACTTTCAAGTGCTCCCAAAAATAGACAAAAAATAAATTTTAAAAAAACTCTTCCTGATTACCTCGGGAAATTCATTATCTTTACAACGCATATCACATTTTATTTTTAAGATGATCCGTTAACGCCCTATGATGTTCACCGCAAAACAACTTTTTCTTAAGGGGGGGTAAGGTTTTAAAGGCCAAAAAAAGGGCCATGTTTGATTTTTTTTTTGCGGCGAAATGAGTAAGTTTATTTTATTGAGCTTAATTACATGTTATTGTTTAACTTTTGAAGAGTATTAGAAAAAAAAATTATTAAAAAATATTAAGAAATAAGCCTGTGGCGGTTAATCTTCCGAAGCGCCTAAAGAAAAAGTTGTTTTACGGTGAACATCATAGGGCGTTAACGGATCATCTTAAAAATAAATTGTGATATGCGTTGTAAAGATAATGAATTTCCCGAGGTAATCAGGAAGAGATTTTTTTAAATTTATTTTTTGTCTATTTTTGGGAGCACTTGAAAGTGAAAAGTGCGATTTTAGCTTTAAAAATCGCTGTTAATTTATTTTTTAAAAATAGAAAAAAATTAAAAATTAAAAAAAGCTCTTCCTGATTACCTGCGTATTCATGTTGAGAATTTGTGTTAAAAATTTGAAAAGGATCGGTTCAGTAGATTTTGAGTTCTGATGTTCACCGACTTTCAAAATAACGTCTTCGGCAAAATCGATTCAAAGTATTTTTACACGTGAAAATACGCCCACATACGGTTGTTTAAAACGCTGTAACTTCGTTAGTTTGACTTTAATTGACTCAAATTTTTTACACAATGTTCTCGACATATTGGTCATTCAGAAACAAAATATAAAAAAAATGTAAAAAAAAAGTTTTTAAAACCTTACCCCCCCCTTAAGGCGCTTCGGAAGATTAACCGCCACAGGCTTATTTCTTAATATTTTTTAATAATTTTTTTTTCTAATACTCTTCAAAAGTTAAACAATAACATGTAATTAAGCTCAATAAAATAAACTTACTCATTTCGCCACAAAAAAGAGCAAACATGGCCCTTTTTTTGGCCTTTAAAACCTTACCCCCCCCCTTAAAACATATTATAAATATTGCTTTTAGTTGAGGGAATTTGAATTGCAAACCTTTTTAACCTTTTTTTCTGTTACTATGAAATGTGAAAAAACGAGCTCTAAAGTTTCACAGGAAAAACCATTGCAGTATATCTATTAAACTCACACTCCAGGTCCGTCCCAGGTCCAGGTGAAGGTGTCGTACTTGTTTGGATACTTGAGGAGGACCGGTTGCACGGGAACGCCCGGATAAAAGGCGCCCGGCTTGAACTTGATCAGAGCGCTGCGATTGGTGCAGGTGCCCTCGGCGAAGATGACCACCTGGGGCCAGTCCTCCGTGGAGCGGGCACGGTCCACAATGTCCCGGATGGTGTTCTGCCGCGAATTGGGATCCTCGCGCTGCACGTAGATGGGCTGGGCGTAGTTGATGATGCGGCCGAGCAGCGGGATGTCCGCCGTCTCCCGCTTGGCCACTATCGAGGGCGGGCCACTGGCCACGACCAGGATGGAGTCCACGTAGGAGGAGTGCGGCGCCACCACCAAAATTGGTGCCTCCTTCGACGTCGCTGCTCGACCCTTCATGGTCACGTAGTGGAACGAGCCGAAGGTGTAAACCATTCGCATGCCACAGGCCGTCATGTATTGCATTTGTCTGTGTGGCGTGAAAAAAACACGATAATTAGTTTGTGATTCAGTAAAGTGCAGTCTGGTTAACTCACTTCCGCCATCCGGTGAGGGGTTTCTCCTTGAGATCGTCCAGGGACATGCCATAGAGTCCGATGCAGGCGAACATCCACGCGGAAATCAGGGAGAGCACACAGCCCACCACGCGAATTGGCAACAGAAGAACTGTCAGCACATATATCTTAAATGGATAAATTGATTTTTAATTATATTAACAATTTTACAAATTCAAATCAGTATGCTATTTGCCCTCCAAAAAAGCTCAGCCACTTGCAACTTAATGTCTTCCATTAGCTGCAAAGGTTAAGACCGGTCAACTCTTTGTTCCACTTTTGAATAAGTGTTTTAAAAAGTTGTTTTTCATTTTTCATTTGCTTAATGACCTCTTAAAGTTAACACACGTTTGAAACCATCAAGTAATTTTCTGACCTTAGTAAAAAGTAGTCCTTAAAGTACACTCAATTTTTAAAACATTTTTTTTAAATAGATCTCCTTTATTATGTTCATAGAAATATGTATCTTAAAAGTGTCTTCCATCAGCTGAAAAGAGCCACCGAGAATTCACTTTTAAGACTTACTATATTTACTATACTCGGCAGACATATAGATACAAGACTCAGCTCGGCATCGGCTTTGGTTATCCCCGAAAAAGAATTACACCTGAGAACTTCTTCCTCGTTCGTTTCAAAAGATCAACGTTAACCAGGCGGCCATCAGGCAGAATCCTCCCACGGTGGCATATGGTTGCATCCGCTTTTCGCCGGTCAGAGCTCGATAGTACATGGAGCCACTGAAGAAGAGAGTGCCCGTGATCATTAGGGTGCCGGTGAGGAAGGGATAGTGGGCCAGGGGCATGGCCATCAAAGCGAACGAGTGCAGGAAGTGGATGCGATTGGCCACATCGGCGAATGCCTGCGAGTCCAGCTGCTCCCGGATGTCGTCCAAGTCGCGCAGGACGTACTTGCAGTAGGCACCCATGAAGATGGCCGAGGCCCCGCCAATCCCGGCCAGCCTCACGAAGTGGTAATGACATCCCGCGAGGCAGTACAGCGATCCGTGCGATCGCACATAGTAATGCGCCGAAGGATGCAGCACCAGGACCCTGTCCTCCAGTGGAATCTTCTGCTGCTGAGTTCTGATGCTCTGCAGAAAGGCGGTTGCCGACGAGATGATCATCTGACTGACAGGATTGCCCACGACCAGATAGTCCAGGGTCTCGGCCAATGACATTGTGTAACTGTTTGGCTCAAACTCCGTCAGCCGATGCCACAATAATTTTGACGCAAAGCCAAAGATTCAAAATACTATGGAACAGTCAATAAAAAAAAACCAGCAATACCAGCTAGAATCGCTAAAACATCGATTTAAGCCCCAATCGATGATATACTATCGCAAATATTCGCTTAGGTGACATTTGAAACAAAGCATACACTTAATCAGAAAACTATAAAAAAAAAACTGTTTAAATTTATAAAGATAGTTCCCGTAAGAAACTGACAGACAATTCATGGTACTATAGAAAATATATTATATTCAGAAATATCTACATATCTTTAGCAATTTGGGTGCAGTAGCACTCGATCCAAATATCATATTACAACAATGCAATAAAATCAATATATAATCACGTAATTCTTCTCGGATAAGAGGGCAATCACATGGTAAAATATTCACATTAATTCATGCAAGCAGACATTTATAATTATAAATATATATAGACCCCCTAAATCAATAGCTCCCCAAACATTTCTGTGTTTATATTCGCCAACTTCCAGTAATCGCTGATAGTTGGATGCTTATCAGTCAAGTGGAGGCGCGCCATTTCTACGCATTGAACTTTGCTTGTCGATCAGGCCCTCTTGATATACGAGTATAATCGGTTCTAGGAACTGGCATGGAAATAGCGTGGAAAGGCCACCCAATGTCTACAATACAATGTCTACTATCGCCCAATTTCATATTCCTTGAGATGCTTGCCTATAGATCCTATAGGAATATAGGATCAAAGTTCCACTTTCGTTTTCATTTGTTCGCACATTCCAAAGATTTTATACTTCAATCTATTTTTATAAAACAAAACATTTGAATGGTGTTAGCATGGGCGTGTTTAAATAATACTTTTAGTATTTACTTATATATACAGCAATGAGCAAAATAAAAAGGCTTTTTGAACTTTCATGAGCATAATTTACAGATTAAAAGGTTAATTTTTGTACTATATGTATTTTATATTTTTGCTCTGAAAATCTTTATGATGATAATGTTTTTAACAAAGCTAAAAACAGTTATAGCAAGGTAAACAATTTACTGAGTACTGAGTTATTTTTTCGACCACAAGTGTTGGTTGGGATATGACCAACGTTACTGCATTGCTAACCAAGTGGGAAGGCAGCAACAATGTCAGGGCCAAGTTGAGTGCCTTGAACTTTGCTCGGAAGCGAAATGAAAGCGAAACGGGTTTTTGTATTGTGCACGCAACGAAATCCCCTCCCAAAACCCCCACTACTACTCTTTCGCCAACTTTCAGGCTTTATATTTATTCATAATATTTCAGTGGGTCAATGGCTCAATAAGTGCACTGCTTCGTCTTCCCCCAGCTGATCTCAGACTCTCAACTTGAGTTGTTACTAAATATATAGTACAACAACTGTAGTATACGCCCCACTGCAGTTATCAATTTTGTTTTTGCTTTGCAACAATTGTCGAATAATAATTCAAGACTTTGAAACTTGACTCAGCGATAGCGCCACTTGGATGCGTCACTGAGATAGGTTATAGTAACATTTCTACTGATTATATAGTATTTGCTTGGCTCGCGTGATTATTACGGCATATTGAACTAAGGTTTGTTATTTGGATTGTGAGGTAATATTATCTAAATAAAAAGTATGTTTAGCTCAAATATTACCGAGAAAGGTAAACATTAATATTTACCTAGTCCAACTCAAACGCATTCTAGGAAACAACTCAAGGTTCTTCGTCATTTTACAAATATGTAAATCTCTATTTATTTATAGTTCCTGAAACAAATACAAGCTAAACAGCTGATTTCGAGAAATGAAAATCCCGATAAATCCCCCAATAAATGACCACAGCTCATTTCAAAACACACCACAAACGGGAATTTCAATGAATCATACAAACAATCAATCATTAAGGAAATAAAACTGAAGGTTTGACTTTCAATTATTAAATTTGACCACTTTCACATTTAAGTTGGTTGTGATAGTGGAAATGATTAATTAGCATGGTTTGTTTTGGGTGCAGAAGCACTGAGATTCTAGTTCTAAATTACTATCATGAACATAACTTTTGGGGATTACAAATGAAAATGTACATAATTGGGGTTTTCCCTGTGCATCTATTAACCGAAATTAGACAATTTCCCGGGCAAATCTGCACTGATCCGTAAACAAGGTGAAACACTTGCGTTGCTCGTTGTTTTTGTTTTTGCTTTTGCTTTTGTTTATTGTTGTGTTATTGCCACTCGCCAGCAATTAGTGCTAAGTGCAAATAGCGAGCTTTACCGAAATGTAGCAAAAACGGAGGAAGGGGTGGCCATGTGTATAAGCAGTTGGCTAATCCCCCCATTAACCCACGTGCAAGAAATTCGAACCGTTTCGCTGATTATCGGGCGCTTTAAAAGCAATAAAGCACCTGACGCTGCAGTGGGAACGGCGACAAAGTGTCGGGTTAATCGGTGGGACATTATGCATTAGGTGCTTCCAGGGGGCTGGCAAGCATGGAACACGAGCCTTCTTATGTGACAAAAGCGGGAAGCACAAAAAATCAGCAACATGGAAAAACAAATCGCTAGACTGGCCATAAAGATACCCGGTAATCTAATTAAAAAAAAAAAAAAACAAACTAAGACTGGTTTCCGGATTTGGGCTATATGCCGCAATTTTTATTGCTGTTATGTTATTTTTATAAACAGAAATCCAAGGTTATATGTACATCAGTTTATAAAAGTATAACAACCTATAGAACAATCTTACATTCTTGTTTCACAAACAAATAACAAATTAGTTTAAGGGATTTGTTAAAAATGTTCGTTTAACAAGGAGCGTGATATTTCTAACTAAAATGCTAAAAATTGAATTTATACGGTGTAAATGTTAATTATTAGGGAATAATTGAAGTTCAAAGTCCAGTTAGAAAAACGTTTGGGAAAATAAAAAGTATATTCCATTTGTATCTTAGGTTTCGCTTATCAGACTGTATCTTTAAGACACTATAAATAAATTATTGCATTAAAAAGTTAATGTTTGTCTTGTGAGTTTAAAGCTTTTATCTTTATGATCCCCTTTTTTATTTTATTATGAAGATTCTATTGTAAACTTAATTAAGACCTGGTAAGATAGGTATTTTATTGGCATTTTCACAGGTTTCAAATGTACCGCTGTATCTTCTTCTTCAGTGTTAATATTAAAGCCCGTATCCTCATAAGTTTGGGTGAAGTCTAGTGGTTCATTATATGTATTTTTCTATCAGTACTGTATTTAATACTATATGATCCCCTATATTTTGTTATTCCAATATACCCACCCATGATTTTAAGCACCCATTAAAAAAGGCAATATACAAGAAAGAAAACGGGAATAAAGCGGAACAAGAGAGCTATTGACTTGGTAAGTGTGAGCGAGAGGCGACATTTTCTGTCAATAACAACAAAAACAACAATAATAACAATAACGGCACACATGCCAAAAGAACCGGCGTCGCAGCAGCAACAAAAACAAGCACAACAATAACAATCCTAGTGGGGCGTAACAACAACAAAGAGAACAAGAAAATCATACGATTCTCGCTGCCGCCAGCAAAAACGCTGACGTAGGCAGAGACGTCGACAGCGCCAGATAAAAAAGAGGAAGAAGCGGTAAAAAAGGAAAAATCAACAACAAAAACAATGCGAAAAAGAATAAGAACGTTGACCAATGTAACGGCAAATGCATGTCAAGTGCAATGCAAAGGAGAGAGATGGGGCGAGAGAAAGTTCTCTCTCCTCCTCTCCCTTCCGCTCTTACTCTCCAGTGGAGATCGCCAGGGGCGGATGTAGAGTACAGTTTTAAAGGGGTTGCTTTTCAATTACCATTTCAATTTGGTTTGATTAGTAAAATTTATTGAAAAATGTTGTAAAAATATCTTAGTTTAAAACAAATTGCTTTCAGAAAGTCGAAAACGCCTAACCCCCTTTATTGATACGCGCCTGGAGATCGCACATGTGCCCGATTTGCATGAATGAAAGAGGGAGATGAACGGAAGGAGGTGCAGAAGAGAAGGTTGCGACGCAAAGGAGAAGAATTAGAGGCGGGGGAGTAGCTAAGAGTGGAACTCACCTTGGCCACCTCAATGTGACTGTCGATTTCGATGCGGTGGACGAACGGATTTATATAGTTATACCCCTTGGAGGCCCAAGTATCCTCCTCGGAATCGCGTTTGGACAGGCTTGAGGCCACTCCCACATCCCCGACGCCACCCACTCCGCCCACCACCCCCGCCGGCGGTACTTCTTCACCGCCCGTTGGCTTAATTGTCGACGTTGTCATTGCCCCTTTTTCTTATTCACTCCTCCACAACTTTAATCACACCACGCACTCCCGCACAGCGGTTAAAAAAAAGTTAAAAAATAATAACAACAATGGTAAAGCGGTCTTCACTGGACTTCACTTGGCTTGTTTTTCAACCACTGGTTTTCAAGTGTTTTTTGTTTTTAAACTGCGATCGGTTTTATATTCGCGTGCCAAGCGCTGCCATAAAAACGGTAAACTAAAATCCCATAGTATAGTTATTGGATTGGCTCGCGAACAACAACAAACGTTTTGCAAACTCTTCGCTCTTCGCTTGCACTGCGCAATTTCGCAACACTTTTTCGGCGGCCTTGTGCAACACTGCTAAGCCAATCGATGAATACTAAAAAATACCAAAAGAAGTACGGACTTTTATTTTCTGCTGATCCGGCAACATTAATAAACATGCAATGATTTGAAATTTGAATTTGTAACCTCTAAGAAAGATTCAACTTAATCTTCAGTTTCCAACTCAATATTTGCAAGTTAATTAGGTAAGTTTGTGGCCTTTCTGATCCCCAATTTCTGCTATCTTTTCAAACGAGTAAGAATCACTTACTTAATATGGTGGTAAATATATTTTTTCAAAAACGTTTCTTAAATTGAAATGTTTTGAAATTGTGGCAACACTGCTAAAAGGGCGCCACACTTGTAAATTTGAAAATCGAGCTCTCCCTTGACCGTTTGCCTTTCACGTGCTTTCCAGACAAACAGCATCGCGCCACCCAATAAATTTTATGGCACTGGCACGAGTCGGTCTAATCTATAATCTAAACAGCAGCAGCAGACCAATAGTTCACGGCCCCGCCGTCTCATGTTTTGGGAACGTGGTTTTTTTTTTTATTTTGGCAAAAAAAAAACCAATAAAAACAAAAAAATATCTAACTTTACGATCTTCATCGAAAACGTTTCCAAGGCAAGACACCTTGTTGGCAAACACTCAGATGTCTAGGCTATGGGGCTATGGGGCTATGGGGCTATGGCTTTATCAGCGGTTGGGAAACGTAGACCGATCCAACCAGTTTAATTCCGTTGCGTCTTGTGGTTAGTTTTTCGAGATAAAACGGGTTTTTCGGCGGTGCGGTGATCACCTGCAAATCGTTTTCTACCTTGTTGCGGGCGGCATTAACTGTTATACGCTCGCTCCGCCGGACGACCTTGACGAAGTTTATTCGCCGCCCTTTACCCCGTGACCTTGCCCAACTCGATTCTGATGGCACGAAAGCGAAAGGAGTGCCGGATTACAAGTGGGAAGTTATAGTAGCATATATGTACATATATGTATACTATAGTAGTTGTTCTGGCTGACCAAGCCCCCCTTTTCCACCCGCCCATCGCATAATCAGCGAACCGCTTCCAAGGCCAAATTAGCGATTTTTAATGTCTGGCTGCGTTTATTAATGAGTTTGTCTATATATATATTTTAGTATTTGCAGTTTCTATTCTCCCAGCCAATTTAGTTTTACCTATTTTGTTATACACAATGGATGTTAATAACATGGCTCAAAAAAAGAAAATAATTTTTCTATTAATGGCAATCCACAAGCGGTCCACAATATTAACTATTAACAAAATTCTTCTAGGGGCTGTCTTTATTAGTATTTTTATGATGCTAGTTAACAATAAACTTATAAGCTCAATAGAGAATCTAAAATTAAATATGTTTTGACCTTGTTTGTTAGTTTAAAAATAGTTTCTATGCGTTTTACTGAATGTCTGTGTCATTTTATGTTTTGATATTAACATTTTAATTTATTGTACTGTTGTGACTGTGCTCACATGTGGCGTTTATTTGTTTTGCTTCATTTATTAAATATACATGTTTCATTATTTGTTCAAATATAAATTAAAACTATAATATTTCGATTCCTGCGTATATTTTTAAAATTAATATTAATTTACTGTATTTATTTAAGTGTAGCATAAGCATGTGCTTTAATTTTTTGGATTTTTTTGTATATGTATATGTATTTATACCTTTGGTAAATTTCTCTGGGTGATTTTGAAATTTTTTTATGGGTTTTTTGTCGCTAATTTTGTTTTCATCTATTTTCTCGTTTTATGTGTATATTTTTTTTTTGCCATTTTTCTGTCAGATGAATTTTCCGGCTTTTGGCCAAGCGTCACGTGAAGTTATTTACAGTTGCCAAAAACGTATTATAATTAATGACTTTTGTTTATAAGCAAAGGCCGGCGATTTTCACAAATTTTCCACAAGATTTCGTTGGCCGCATTGACCTCTCAAAGTAAAAGCGAGATAGCCTTAGAAAGTGAGACAGTGAGTGGGCGACGTCATCATCATTGACGTCACAGTCGAACTACAGTGAAAGAGCTAATATCATACAATAAAATGCTGTAAAAAATCGATTATTTTGTATATATACAACAGCGATGAGCAAGCGCACATGGGCAAACCCCCAATACACGTACAAAAGCGCCAACAATCATATACGAAGCTCTTAAAGTGTGCGTGCCATGGGGCGAGCCCCCAAAACTGGATTCCCAAAAGTGTACTACAAAAAAATACCAGAAAAAGTCATAAGTATGACAGTTGAAGGTGACACAGGAGGCGGCAATAGGACATGTATACCAGTTCTGTAATCCCAACTTTTGCTGACGAAATCGGTAGAATTCAAGGCGTGGTTGGGCGATGGAAAGGGAACAACCGAACCCAAACCCCTTAAAAAAACCCAGCTGGAACCAGTTGATTTTTTTATATCTGGGACTTATGTCAAAAGGGTTTTACTTCAGATAACCTGTTACCAATTTCTGAGGCATTGTTAAATTAATTTCTGTAAGCCCATCTATCTAAACCTGAATTAAGTGTTGGGTTTTTATTTGTCATACATTTTATTTATTATGCATACATTTCAATCATTTACAAACGAAGTATAGCTGCACCTAAAATGGTTTTTCAGCTCAGCTGTCATCTTTGCTTATTTTTAAATTGCTGACTCATCGTGCCAATGCACCAATTGTTTGGTCTTATCATATATTGCATGTACATATGTATGTATGTATAGAAAATTAATCATATGTATATGCAAAGGTGTATAAACCAGTACAGTAGCAACCAGCACAGTGAACACCTTTTTATATCCTTAACGGTTTATCTAACTTACCATAGAAACAATTGCTAACTTCTAGCATAATGATATATTCCTAATCTTGGCTAAATAGTATACTATCTCTAGGGGATCGATCACTGTTCAGTCAAGTGGGTTTTCACGTTGACCTACTCGATGAAACGCCCCTTTGAGACCCCCTCTCAAGTGTCTTCGCCCCTCTTGCACCCTCTTCAAATTTCTTCCCTCACGTTTCCTATTTCGCATTTCACCAAAGCAATTTCCGTGGCTGCAGATAAGAAAAAGAAACAACAACGGCAGCCACTCCTTGTCTCATTTGCTATTATTATAATGTAGATAGTTGACTTCATATGTACTTTCAAAAGAGATCGCGTTGAATTTATTAGTCTGTTTGCTAGTCACACAAAGGTGTACAAAAATAAGACAATCTTAAAGGGATATGATGAAATAAAACAAATATTAAAAGAAATATGCACCCCTTTTGAGTTTGAATTGCATTATTAATAAAACATCACGGATAATAATAGTTACATTTTTGGTTTAAAAAATAGTTAAATATAATAAATGTATAAGTGTATCTTGTCATTCGATATTTAAAATAGTATATTTTTTTTTTCGATTGGCGTCTGTGTGTTCCTGAGTAACGGAACGTGTAACCAAGCCAGATAAACAATTAATCATTTTTGTCGCAAAAGCAAAAACACTCACACGCGAGAAGGTTGGCACACCTACACTTGTATATGTACGTTTGTACATTCATATATATGAAAGACACGGGGGAGCGTCTCTGAATAAAAAAAACCTCTTGAAACCGTCAAAAGTCACTGAATTTTTAATGCACTTTGCACTTTGTGATTTTGGGTTGTATTTTTGGAGCTTTATTACGCTAAACTGGCGTAAACAACTAATGAGTTTTGTTATTGTGGCGAAATAATTTCGCAAGACACGTGCAGCACCGTTTGGAAGGGAGATGGCAAAGAATGAGAAGGGGAGTTGTAGTTGTAGTTGTTGCTTAGCCCCAGACGTCATCGCACTCTCGCTCTGTTCCTCTCTTCACCTCCCTACCCCCCTCCATTCAACAAGGGGGCGTGTGAGGCGGCTGCGACTGAATGGAATATGTAAACAGCAAGAGGCATACACGTAGCAATTCCTTACCCAAACTTCCTTTTAAAAAACCTTTTAAAAAATTAATAACCATTTTCAACAATCGTGAATTTTGCTGATGTCCTTTAAATAGAAAGGAATCCACAACTTCCGGTATAATTTGCATCAAGTAATAGCTCCTATTATTATTATTTGACCCGCGACTGTTAATGTCTGGTCTTGTATAACAGTTATGAGGCCACATGCCAGCACACACGTTTGCAGACATGCCCCCTTACATACATATGGAAATACTTACGTATGGATGTACATACATATGAACGCATATATACATATAGTACTCTCACTTGTAGTTGAAGGCGCTTTAGTTGTTTTTGCTGCAATTGCGGACGAGCCTCTTTGCAAATGCAGGAAAAAAATCACGAGGCAAAAACAACTATGCAAAAATGCAGCTACCAAATGTAATTGCACATGAAATCCAAGTGTAAAAATATGAAAAACCCCACGGGCAACAACAAATTCCATTGAACCGAGAGCGATAGAGTGAGAGGGGGCAGCGGAAAAGATCCGGAGGAACTTCGAACGGGGCGGCACGTACAAAATGTGTGAGTATGTATGAGCAAACGGGCCGGGAGCGGGCTAAAAAGGGGGCGGCCCGGGGAGACGAGCCCCACGGACACTGAAAAATACATATGTATATTTGTATAAGAGGATGTAGACGCGTCGCCAGAACTTGAGAATTCCAAGAAACGGTAAAATTGGATGTAGGGGGGCAGTGGCGGCCAACAGCTAAGCAAACTTTGCTCTCTCCCATTTTATGGGTAAATCTTCTCTCTCTCTCGTCTTAGCTGGAACGGCACTGTTATACTGATGCCATCAGAGAGAGAAAGAGGGAGCGCAGCCCACAAGCTCTGCTCAAAAAGACTGGGTATGAAGATTGGAGGGGGTTAGCAAGGGGGTTCAAGGAACGAAGCCATCACGCAGGCGGAAAAAATCACAAGCTTGGTGACTTTTGAATGCTCTACTTAAAATTAGCTGTTTCAACACATGTTCCAAGGATTTATTCAAAAATCTTCGAGCGTTTAGTTTTTAAAAATTACTGTGCACTTTCAGGCGACTAACAGCTAATAATATAAAAGCAGAGCAAACAAACCTATAGACTGAAAAGCTTACTAATAAATGCTGTTCAATAATTTTCTAAAAGGATTACATGTCGTATGCGTAATATTTGTATGGCAAAACGCAACTATATTTTTGAACAGTACTTTTTTATTTCGTTTCAAACAAGTTGACGATTTTGTTGCCTCCGAAATTGTATAGGGCATCAACCAATTTGCTGACGACGACAAAAGTCGGCTCTCTCATAAGCGGAAGCGAAGAGAGTAAGCTACGCCGCCCGCCCTTCTAGTTCCGCGTTTATGCGGAGAAAACAACAGTGTGACTACAGGAAACTCAAAAAAAATGTTATACATATTTGTTAAGTCTTAATAGCCAAATCAAAATGAATTTATTTGTTCCCCAACTAATTTTGCGGATTTCGGAAAAATGTGTTTGTCAAAAATCAACCCAAAACCTTGACTTCTATGTCCATAAGTTTTCTAATTTAAATCATATTCGGAAGAGTGATATCTTTAAAGTGTTGTAATACAATTTTCTAAGAAACTGCGTTCAAGGTTTAAATTTTATTTTTTTTTTTTTTTTGGTTTTCTTTGTCATTTTGGATGATGTTACCCCTTTGAAAATTTCGGAAAAATGGTCTTGCAGAAAATCGACCAAAATCTGTACTTCTAAGTCCATAACTTTTCCAACTTTAATTTGATTTTAAAGTGTTCCATCTTCTTCTAAAATATTTTACGTTTATATAGGGTTATGATTGTAATTCACTAAATCTTGTGCAAGTCATAAACCAGTTCCCCGCATAAACACCACCCATTGAGTCATTCATTTGCCGCTCTTATCGCTCTCGCCCGCTCCCTTGGCCACTACTTCGCATTTGTAGACCCCAAATCATTGTAGATATATACGCGCCATATCTCCAACCAGCCCGCCCCAAAACCGATTTTCAGTTTTTGACCTTCAAGGTTCCTTCACGACGAGCTCGCTTGCGAGAGCGGGAGAGAGCGAAGCCCCAACGCCGCAGTCGCGGTCGACGCCGGCAGCACGCAGCAGCAGCGACAGCGAAAAGTGAACAGTTGGCGGCGAGTGAATTTAATTTCGTAAAAAACGTTTCGAGCGGCGGACGCGTGTAGCGGACGAAAATAACACACGGAGAGCGAGAGATCGTCAGCAGCAGCAGCACAAGAAACTCAAAGACTCAGGCACTCATTTCCTAGAGCCAAAGCAAAAAGTTCGCTGAAAACCGCTGAAATTTGGCAAAAACCCCGCGAGTGTGCATTTTACAAGATTTGTTACTTTTTTTTTTGCCGTGTGAGTGTGAGCGAAAGAGGTAAAAGGAAAAACAGAATGGATCGGGAGCTGAACGGCGCGATGAGGAGCGTGTCCATAAATAGCGCCCAACTGAATGGTCACAATAACGGCGGGCTAGATGAAACGGACCGCGTGGGCGTGGCACGAGGAGGCGGGGAGGCGGTATTGAGTGCGACAACAACGAATACGACAAAAGCTACAAATGCATCGGCGACAGCGACAAATGCATCGGCAACAACATATTCAACTCACAGCCCGCAGCAAATTGCACTCTTATCCGCTGCAGAGAAAAAGAAGATGGTGCACGAGTTATGTCAGCAGCTGCTTTTAACGGACGAACAGGTGCAGGAGCTGTGCTACCGCATCCTGCACGAACTGCGACGCGGATTGGCCAAGGACACGCATCCGAAGGCCAATGTCAAGTGCTTTGTAACGTACGTCCAGGATCTACCGAATGGCAATGAGCGTGGCAAGTTCCTGGCCTTGGATCTGGGTGGCACCAATTTCCGGGTGCTGCTCATCCACTTGCAGGAGAACAACGATTTCCAGATGGAGTCCCGCATCTACGCCATACCGCAGCACATAATGATTGGCTCGGGAACGCAGCTCTTCGATCATATTGCCGAGTGTCTGTCGAACTTTATGTCCGAGCACAATGTGTACAAGGAGCGACTCCCTCTGGGTTTCACCTTCTCGTTCCCCCTCCGTCAGCTGGGTTTGACCAAGGGTCTGCTGGAAACCTGGACCAAGGGCTTCAACTGCGCGGGTGTCGTCAACGAGGATGTTGTCCAGCTGCTGAAGGACGCGATTGCCCGACGCGGCGATGTCCAAATCGATGTGTGTGCCATCCTAAACGACACCACCGGCACTCTGATGAGCTGCGCCTGGAAGAATCACAACTGCAAGATCGGTCTGATTGTCGGCACCGGAGCGAACGCCTGCTACATGGAGCGTGTCGAGGAGGCAGAACTCTTTACCGCCGAGGATCCGCGAAAGAAGCACGTCCTGATCAACACAGAGTGGGGCGCCTTTGGCGACAACGGTGCCCTGGACTTTGTGCGCACCGAATTCGATCGGGACATCGATGTGCACAGCATCAATCCGGGCAAGCAGACGTTCGAGAAGATGATATCGGGCATGTACATGGGCGAACTGGTGCGCCTCGTTCTGGTCAAGATGACCCAGGCAGGCATCCTCTTCAACGGACAGGACTCGGAGGTGCTCAACACCCGGGGGCTGTTCTTCACCAAATACGTGAGCGAAATCGAGGCGGACGAGCCCGGTAACTTCACCAACTGCCGACTAGTGCTGGAGGAACTCGGCCTGACCAATGCCACCGATGGCGACTGCGCCAACGTGCGCTACATCTGCGAGTGTGTCTCGAAGCGTGCTGCCCATTTGGTGTCCGCCGGCATTGCCACGCTGATCAACAAAATGGACGAGCCAACGGTGACGGTGGGCGTCGATGGCAGTGTGTACCGTTTCCATCCCAAGTTCCATAATCTGATGGTTGAGAAGATCTCGCAGCTGATCAAGCCGGGCATCACCTTCGACCTGATGTTATCCGAGGACGGTTCGGGTCGTGGAGCGGCCTTGGTGGCCGCCGTCGCCTGTCGCGAGGACCTCATCAAAAGCAAGTAGGCGTGGCATGGATCTGGATGAGGAGGATCAGGAGGATGAGGAGCAGGAGGTACCAGGAGCCAGGAACCAGGAGGCGAAGCCCCTGGAGCAGCTGAAGCAGTCCTATGAGAGCAACACACACACACAGAACAGCAGAGAAAAACACACCTAGTAAACGGCCACGGTGGCGTATGCGTAATTACAGTAGAGCCTCGCCAACTCACAAAGGTCCTATGCGAAGTTAAAAAAATAGAGCGCTGCCACGATAAAAAAAGAATCAAAAAGCCACCCAGACAAAAAAATACATATGCATAGGGCATTTGTGAGTTGGCGCCGCTTGGCTTTAGTATTTTAATTAGGCAAAAAAACAAAACCAGGTTTTTAACACGAAACGTAACAGAAAACCCCCACTAAGAGACAGAAGATTTGTGGCATTCTATCTCTTTCTCTCCTAGTTAAACATTAAAACAAAAACACTATGCTTAATGATTACGGATCGATTTTCGATTTTTGTTGAAGATTTGTTATGCTATTATATATATATATATTTTACAAAAAAAAAACATAATATACACACACAAAAAACATAATGTATATGTTTGCGTATATATGTATAGTACAATTTGTGAACCGAATTTCTTTTCGATTTCGATTGAGACAAAAAATTTTTTTGGCAATTCCCCCGCCCCTATGAAACGGAGATACTTAAGAGCAAGCGAGAGGAGAAACTGTTATACTACTGTGCTACAAGCATTCTAGCATATCCTGCAGGACAACGGAAAGAGAAACTGTAAAACCGCACATTGTTAAAGCGAAAGCGAAAAAACAACAAAAACAAGCCGCTAAAGAATAGACAGAAAATGAGAGAGAGAGAGAAAGAGAGAGAGGAATACTAGGTAAAGCTATGGTGTCCTTTCTGTAATTGTAAATGTTTATATAGAACCTATTACGAAGCGTTATATGATAATACTGCATACATATATATTTACATATATATATATATAAATATGATATATTTAGCCACTATATTACTGATTTTTTTTTTGTAATGTATTGCTTGTCTTTGTTTAGTGAATTTGTTTGTTGTTAACACTTAAGCAGTTAAAAACTAAACAAAAAAACAGTTTTTTTCTTTTGATATAGAAACGCACTTTGTGAACTATTATTTATGTAATTGTACATTTGACCTAGTTTAGTGTTTAGTTCTTATCTTAGTTTCTAAATGTCGTCGAAGAAGCCCGCAATACAACCAATATATCCCCACCCCCAAAAAAACCCGACCCACAGAGCCCTTAATTATATTTAATTATTGTTTACGAACAACAACAACAACGGAGAAAATGCGAGAAGCAAATAAGCGAAGTGAAAAGCAAATAAAATTTGTTCTTAATTCATACGCAAGTTATTGTTATTTATTTCCAATATTCGGTATTCAATAGTTTTCTTTTCAGTATGAGTTGGTTATGTTTTTATCATCATCATTTTTGCAGCTGCTGGCCGGCATGCTCAGGCAACAACACATAAACAATTCGCAATCAAGGCAAAACGAAGACACATTTTTTTGGTCTAATAATAAGCAAAGAAGAAGAAGCCTAAGAGATATATATTATAAAGAACATAGGAGAAGCGAACCAGTGTTTCTATTTTTCAACAAAAAGAATTGTAAAATAATCTTAGCCCATGTTAATAAATGAAAACTGATTAAAACTCTCGTTATCAAAAAGCGATTTAAGCATAAAATCCTAAAAAAAAAAACTACATACATAAACCACAAATCGAAGGCTTGGAGAAGAAGAAGAATTTAGTAAATGATATAAACAAAAGGAATGTTTGTCGACAGTGAAACAAATAAAAATGATTGAACCAAATAAAAAAGAAAACCAAATGAGAAACAAAATATCGTGGAACGTGTTCATTTGGGTCTAATTTTGCGGTATCTATTTATTTGAATTTTTATTCTCCTTTTATTACCCCTGTACTTTTTTAATATTTTAGCTGCAGACTAAAATTATACATCATCAGAGGCAATAACAATCAGTCAGCACTTTGCTAGCTCAATTTTGTTATTTATATTACTCGAACATACATACCCTACACAGAAACGGGCGTTTCGGTTTCAACAGTTAGGTGGGTTCAATTCACTTTCCACTGTACACATTTGTTTACGTCCTTAATCTATAGTCTGAAAACCATTTCCAACTGGATTCCAAAATAATTGCAATTGTAATATTTTAATAATTATAATCAGTATGCGTATGCCTTACTTTTTCTTAGGTACTTCCATAGCTGCAATCAGCCTCAGCACTTAAGTCTTACGTAGTTTTTCGCTGCTTTTGTATTCCATTTTAAATTGAATCATTTGCAGTCGAGTTTTCGTTTGACGCATTTGAATTACAAGTGCTGGGGATCCGAGGCGGACAAAAGGCTTGATTGAGCCATCGATCGCCAAAGGGAGGGGTAACTGATGAGTTAAGCAAGCGTTCGATAGCCGCTCGTGCAAACGCCAAAGTCTCTCAATAAAAGTGGATTGATTCACTTGGCGGCGGAAGAGGGGAAAGCGGTGCGGTGCGGTTTAAAAAAGTACTTATTTTTCTATTATAAAACCTCACAGAGCTCGGGTTCCGCGAAAGTTGTTTATAGAATCTCAAATGAAAACGGGTCTCGTGAAAACCGCCACAGACAGAACGAGATGGGGATACACTGCAATCTCAGTTAAGTCGCGATCACGTTTTACTGCGGCTCACAACCCAATTTAAATATCTTGAATGCAAATTTCAATTTAAAAAAAAAAACAGAAAGCAAAATCATTTTGTGGCTAGCGGCGGGAATCCCAAATGAGTGATACCTCTTGGGTATTCACCAAACGCATATTGGGTAATTTGATTTAGTTTATTTTTGTACTTTCAATCATTAAGACCAAAATATTCGTGTAATAAGTGTAGTTTTTGTAAAAAACCAATCAGATACATAATTAATTATTTAATTGAATTGTTTTCATAGCTCTTACAACCCTAACTTTTATTGCAATCTCTTTTAATCCCAGTGTTATTCATGCACTTGAAACCGCATTACAGTCACCTTAACCCTCCCCAATAGTGTGGCAACCCCACTTAGCCCCACTTAACACCCGATGCCCTTGATTTCCGTGGCTACATCCCCATTGGCACCCCCTGAAAGCCACCCGGTCATCCTTATCTCCCGCCACTTGTGGCTTATCAGGAGCTCACACCCTCAAATGCAATCGCAATGCATTGTCGGTGATAAGGGTGTGAATTTCCTGAAATCCCCGATTAGCCACCTTTCCTTCCCCTCGTCAGAAGTAATCGTGTTAATTTGCCTTAATTGTGAATTGCAGGAAAGAAAATTTCTTGCGAACAACGCTGCGTATACGCAATTCAATATCAGTCGGGCTTTGCTATAGTTACTGGTGTTTATTTTTATTTGTAAAAAAGTTATTGCCATCAATAAGGGATCTCTAAATAACACCTTATTATAAGGAACTACAGCAAACTTGAAGTGAAAGTTTGAAACGATGCGTATACGCAATATAATATACAGGCTTTAAGATTATTGAAGGCCGTTTGCCATTTTTTCCCGTTTTTTTCATATATCTAAGCAATACCATTCTACTCTTCAGATCTTTCACCCCAAAAATATATTCGATCCGAGTAAATAATATTATATACACAGAAGTTAAATAATTTATCAAAATATCGCGTATACGTCACCGTGTCCCCAAATCTGGTGGGCGTTGACCACGCCCCGGCAAAAAGTAGCAGCCGTCAGCTTTCTACGTCAGTTGGAAAAAGATTTATCATTGGGCGATTGGCGAGACAACAAAATTCTTTTCAACATTTTTAAGAGCTCTGACAGCTTTTTGTTGTTGTCGAAAATTTCGCTTTAATTTCGCGGCAATTTTACAAAATATGCTTTGTGTTTTCGGTGCGCCAGGCAAAGCAGATATCGAAAACATTTTTTCTGAAATAGTTTCAGTGCGCCGTTAGCTAGAGAATTGAAAACCAAATACGCAATAATAAAAAGATACAGGGAAACGGGCCCAAAAGAGAGAGACGTTGTAGAAATTGACGGCAGACAAATTTGCTCAGTTGATCTGTAACTAGCTCGTTCTCTTTTCCCCCATTTCATTGTCTCGCTCGCACCTTTTAGAGCTGGTTTTGTTGTTATGCAAATGCTAAAAAGCATTTCAAACGATGGCAAAATGCAATTTTCGAAAGTGTGAAATGGAAATGCAAAACGAATGGCGAAAAAAAGGAAACAATCATGTGAGTGCCAAGCAACAACAATTGCGTCTCGTCTATTTAATAATATTCAATATTTATATTCGCAATGTTCTGTTTGTTTTTCTTTTGATTTTTTTCACTTATAATTTACAGCGGATCGATTGACAACTGTTGACTAATCACAGTATTCTACAAGGTTATGCGCCTTTGGTTTTCTTATTTAAAAATCATTTTTTCAAATGTTTAAATTTAAAATTTTTAAACCATATTAAACCTATTGTTTTCTTTAGTTTACTAGTGGATAACGGATATGGAGTGCAAACATAAGTCGAAATCTTAAAGCTGGTCGGTAGAGTTAAACCAGTTTAGACAAATGCAATTCGCATATATGTAATCATGGCAGCCACATCGAATGACAGGAAGGAGCCACTTCAACTGGAATTTCAGGGGGGCTTAAGGGGGTAAAAAGTTTTCCAGGAACCCACTGCCCAGTTGTCAATCTACAATGGAGTCGTTTCTCTAGCACTAAACATTAATAACTAAAAATAGATATGGATCTATGAATGTCCGATCGCAACTACCACATAAGTTTCATAGCTAACTAATCAAATGTTTATGATTAACATGCATTCGCTAACAATAGGATAAATTATGGTAAGTCCTATCTTTACAATACATTTTGTTGGTTTGATGGATTAAGCAAATTTTTTTTGTTCTTTATTTGATAAATAACACTTGAAAAAGAGTACAAGCCAAGATCAAATTCCAGTTTTATTTCTGGTTTGACATTCTATGACATTCTCTTTCCCTATAAACGGGCTATATCTCAGATATCAAATCTTATCGTTTGGGCCCGTGATAAAACCTTTGATTTCGCACCCAGTAGCTTCGACTTGGCAATAGCGATTTTCTGCAACTGCCCAGATATGGCAAAAAAATAACTGATAAATATAGTTAAGATGTTAAAAGAGTTAATAAAGATATATCAACATCTTAGCCTCCATTAAATCTCTGATAAAAATTATAATTAAAGAAGAAAGTACGAGATATAAAGTTTATTTACATAAAACATAACAATTTAAATGTGTACTTCAAAACAATTATACTTTTTCAACTACATTTGCCATTGGGTTCGAACTTTTTCCACACCAACATTCAAAAACCACAATCAACAATCATCCACAGATGGCTGCCGTCATTTCCTTCAGCGATCTTGTTTTATGGCCGTTGTTTTCTGCGAATAATTGGGGTTATTAGTTTATAACTCTTTTGTTTTTTTGCGCCATGAAAACAATTTGGTTTGCCGTATTGTTGTGGCTTTGTGGGCTGGTGAATATATACTTTTGAGTACCGGTGTCAGCAATCATCGGCGATCGTGTGCCTCGCTTGGAAATTTAAGCAATTAATTCGCTGCTAAATTGCTTTAATTACATTTCAATTTAAACCCTCAAAAAGGGGGAAAAAATAAATAATTGTCACTAAAAACAAGCCCAGAAAAAATGAGTAATTAAAATAACAGGGAAAGTACCAGCAAAAACAGTATGAGATGTCGGAAACAATGAGACGAACTAAATTGAGTGATATAATACGGGTAATTAAAACGAAGATCCCCATATAATCTTTTACTCATCAATCATGGGATCGTCACAAAGTTTATTTTTACAATGTTAATACTTTCGAGGCACAAAAGCTTGTTAACTTAACACCTGTTAGTAAGTGCGGTAATAACAATTGTAAAATATATTAAAAAGTAAACAACGAATGAAAAGTATTTTATGTTTATGGAAGGGCGTGAAATTGCTTTTGGCTTCGTAATAAGATCGCAACCGGATTCCTAGGCCCTACGGGCAATTTTATTATTCCCAAGGCCAAGAACCGGGTACAGTTGCCTCCGGCGAGACCTTACGATGGTCATGGCCACTCAATTGATGATGTAAGTGAATTGAATGATTGAATGAAAGTGCGACGACTCGGACCGTCTCTAATCGCTAAACGAGTCCAAATGCAAACCAATTGAGCGGATCTCTGTCTCATTCTCTGTCTCTGTTTCCCGGCGGAACGAACCGCTGGAAACTGCCTCGAGGGCGGTACGGGTACCAGGTCCCATTCGCCTCAATTAATGGCGTCCATCTGGAGAATCTTGCTGGGCATACAA